TTTTGGAAATTTTTCGAAAATTAGGTAACTACATAGTACATATTAATGTATGTGAGTTTAGTTTCATGCAAACAGCCAAAAGAGTAGTCCAGCCATCAGACGGCGGCAAAATAGCTGACAAGCTGAACACCCGCAGTTTCCGGCAAAATAGCCAACAAGCTAACTGGCCGCAGATACTGCGGCAAAATAGCAAAAGGCTATTTTGCCGCAAAAACTGCGGCAAAATAGTCACTCCGATTTTTTAACCCGTGGATGCTGTACTTGTGTTACTGTCTGAACCTCCGCAGCATCAGCGCTATTGAAAATTTCGTTGTCCTATCGCCAGCTGCACTATACCAGATTGTCGACACCGTCCGAACGGGTATGTAAGTGTTTTAAATGCCCTTTCATTCGCTTTCCGTAATGTACGAGTATAATACCGGATATTAGGTTATTTGGTACATAACTACATTCGCTCTGCCGCGTGCGTATACCGTACAGTAATTATCGAGTTTGCCCCTCTCCTGGCTAACAGTTGAATACATGCATCGGGATGCTGTTGGATCATTTTCACAGCTCAGTAGTTGTCGCACAATTTAGCTTAGTCTGTTCTCAACACACCGTCAAAGAACCTGTTGACACCATGCAAGATATTGTATTATGCATAACTATCCACCTTACAGGGACTTCATAAAATAAAGATGTTAACACTCATAGCCGATAGCGCCATGCGTACCGATGGATATCTGTCAAGCATCATTTTTTGAACTCCAGTGAAACTACCGTACAAGCCCGTCCTGCTTCCCTTTGACCGCTGCATGCGCGACGCAGTGAATAGCGCACAGTAAGGCTACATTTTATCTACTCTACGAATAGGTGGCTTTATTTCAAACTTGTACAAGCAAATGCCATTTACACTTAAACTCAAATATCGAATAGCTAGAACAATAAAACAACTCTTCAAGCTCTTTTGAACAACCAACAGTTCCCAGGACAGAAGCGGCATTTCCACGCTGAATTTCAACACTAATACGCTGCCACAAAAAGTCAGTAGCGCGCACTTCTCCTGTTTGACCTTTTATGCGTCGACCAACTTCATTTATGAACTGACGGGTACTGGCGCCGCAACTTCCCATAGTCTCCAAGGACACCGGTTGGAAAAAATAACGATCAGTCAGTTCCTCGTAATTGCGCCTCTTTCGCTCTTCCGCGTCTTCTGCTGCCGAACCCGCTGCTTCTGATGAGCCGGCGATGTACGATATAGCAAATGTGTCGCACACCGTCACATCCCAAATCAAAGGGAGACCGTTCTTCCAAGGAAAAAAAGACAAACCGTCTGGGCGCTTCCCATTTGACCTGCACAGTCCAGGAGGCTCCAAAATAGTCGGACTTTGCCGATCCCAGGCTGCGCTGAATAAGGCTGTTCTGCTTGCGTGACGCCTGAATCTTCCCTGACTTTTAAACATGACAAACCATGCAAACCTTGCATGTCAACTGTTTCACCGCATCGACACTTGTGCTGCTTACAAATCGGAGCTCCCATACGTAAAGCTACTCTACAGTCTACACTGGATGCATTGGCGTAGAGCACACAATCTGAATTGTCATTTATTACCTGTGGTACAACGGTTATGCAACAGCTTAAAACAACACAATTTTACAACATGAAAATTTCATTTAACTTTTCTGTTCTTCCATCGTTCCCAAACTGATGCAGCGTTTCCTCGTTGTATCACTAGTGACAGTCTTTGACGTTGAAATTCATGGGAACGTCTTTCGCCTGTGTGTTGCTCCAGTCGTTTGCCCACCTCTTTAATGACGCGCACACAATCTATCTCACAGTGAGTCTGCGGCTACCTCCCATGTACCGCAGTGGCATTAACGAATACCGGTAGTAGCGTGACGTGCCGAAACGCCTTGAATGGCTCAAGCCAACGTTTTTCATATACACATCCCGGTTATAGCGGTCAAAAGGTGGCAGGATGGGCTTGTACATGTTGCCCAATGCTATGATAATAATATTTGTATCATAGAACTTCCCAAACGACTAGTAGGTTCAAGGAGCCTGATCTGTGAGATGTAACTTTTATTGGTCAGAATTAATAACCGGTGTTAACTTCCTCGCAAGATGTTTTTCCGCATGGACGGGAAATAAATCGTGGTGTCCAAGTAATGTCTCCGTCTCGCTCTTCGGTTACTTAATATTCGTTTACTATTAAATCCTTATTAGCAATAAACTAAGCTAGTTTCTAGGCCAGCCATGGCTGGGCTGGAGAATGAAATCATTGAAATGCTACCACTACGAATTTGATGGTTCCGAGTATCACACAAGATTTGATACATGGAGCGGTGAAGAAGAATTCAGATGCACTGAAGTCAAGGACATTTCCGCTCCACTATCCCATACTATTGATCAGTTCAACTCCTTGAGAATGACGCTAATACACTTGTCGAAAGGGCAGGGGATAAAAGGTGGCACTGGCACCTGCCACTGGCAAGTGTCACCGGCAGTGGCAATTGCCACTACGCGTTCTGGCAAGCGATAAAAGGTGGCAATTGCCAAAAACAATAAAACGTCCACTTTTTCTGCAAAAAACGTCAGATTTTTTTAAATTTGGAGCAACTAATGTGATCCGGTTACCGGTATATCACTTCGACTCTTTCATTACTTGAACCTGGTTAGATCTGGTTAATTTGACAGATTTCTTAGGTTTCTTATTCTTGCTAAGGTTTTCGGAAGTCTTCTAGGCCCTATGCTTTCTAAGAGTGTATGCTATCTATATTTCACGGTTCAGATTTGTTTCAATAAATCATGATTTTAAAACAGAAAAAAATTGCTTATAATGCGCAGCGCAGCATTAGTGTATGTAGCAGTTCTACTTAACGTCAGCGGAACTTTGATCTTTCTTCGATTTTTAAATGACTAATCAAACCTAAAAAACTAAGAAACCTTAATTAACTACAAACCGGTACTGTCACGTTATTCATGTATCGGAACATTACCATAGGTCCATAGCCACTGCTAGTCCCATCATCTTTACCGAAATTAATTATTTCAACTAAAGAAAACCTAGACAACTTAAAGCAAACCTTAGAAAACTAAGAAAAGTTTTAAACTAGAAGGATCCAAAAAGATTGCTGTCGACAAATACGGCAACATGGATGCTTAATGACAGCCAAACAGTTTCCGCCTTTTTTGGAGTTATTCCGGTTGAGTTCCTGTTTTGCTGGCGTGACAAAATAACCTTCCGCGAGCACTCCTGGTTTGTGGCAACTGCCACCTTTTATCGCTTGCCAGAACACGTGGTGGCAGCTGCCACTGCCGGTGGCAGTTGCCAGTGCAGTGCCACTCTTCGCCGATCGCATGGCGGCTAAATGGTTTGTTCGGAAGGCGGGAACGTTCAAGTATCCTAACTGCCGGCGAGATACCAAGTACGACTTGAAAATGATTTTTAATATTCCTGAATACCAAGAGACGCTGATAGTGTCACGGGATTTGACACTGACCAAGCCGTTCCTGTTCCGTGTGCGGCTGTATGTGATGGCTGTATGTTTGTTCCTGGATTTGCCGTATCTGTATATTTGCAACCTGTACTGGGCAAACGTTATCACGTACAGATTCGTTAAACAGTTTGGAAAACCGGTAGAGGTACCGGCTTTTTAATATCCACAGGGGACTTACGAGTATTCTTGGAAAAATGATTTGCTGAGGAAGCTAAAACCGGTCATCTTTTTGCTCAAGATGAAACTGAATTGTTTTTGTTCAAGCTGACGTCTTCGTATGCCGCTATTATGTCCACAGAACTGTGCATCGTATGTATAATGTACGTGTTTGGCTCCATCGGTCAGTAGTTAAACTGTATATTTTCCACTGTATATTTTCCACTTCCAGTCGTGGTGTGCAAGTATTGGCTCCTTCTCGCTACTAGGTTAACTTATAAGTACTATTCAGCGTTTTCTACCTAAATCCTTATTTAAAAAAAAATGCGGCTAGAGCCGGTTTATTAGAACTTTTCACAAAGCTAGCTGTATAAACACAGCCACAAATAACGTCATCCAAACAAAAGCTGTTGAAATTAGCAGCCTTAAAGCGTCAAGCACAATGTGGCCGTATGTGCTAGCTCGCCAACGATCGATCGTGCCACATTCAAAGTATGATAACAACTGTGATGATGAGCATCGGTTGCGGTCAATGACAGAAAAAAAACAGCGTTTGGTGTTACCAAGATCACAGCAGTATGTAAGCGGTCCACCGGCACTGGCTTGTTCACTGTTTCTTCGGTATACAGTGTAGTAATGACATACGCTGATAATAATTATGATAATTCAATAGTACCGACATCACGCACTGTGACAACAAAACTGAACGGTATCAAGGTGATTTTCCTCAAACTGTAAGCTGTTTTACGATTTAAGAATGCGGACTGCCGCCAATAAAATCCTTATGGATCCGGCGACTTGTGAAAAGAAGGGACTGCACACAACTGCTGCGCCAGCGTATGTAACCGGCAGGAAGGTGGACTGATAGATGGTGGATGTGCAATGAAACCGCATCCACATTCTTTGCTGCGCCATGCTATAATCTACGGACTCAGCTGATAGTAGCAGTATTTTAGCTTAGAGTTCGAATTTCTGTTCTGTGACATCCTGCAGCTTCACCCACGTTTTTAAAACGACTTAGTAAAAAGCCAAAATTCTGAATAAGGTCGGTTTGATGGAACTTTTATATGTTAGAAGCATTGTTCTGGGGAGAAACCAACCAATGCCACTCCGACACCCAAAAACCCAGCGTACCTTGATTAACCAAATGCCATTTTGTTCAGGCCCCGCTACGCTCATATAAGTGTATATCAAAACATAATTTACTTTCAAAAATTTAAATGCGCTAGGCTTAGTAATATTTCGAAAGACTGTTGCATAAATCCCAACCAGCTACATGAACATGAACCTATCCAGCTGCTAAAGTCGCTGTTGAATAAGTCCTAAACATGCTAATTACAGGAGTTCTTGGCGGGAGGAATTTAAAAATCTCGAGTTAAGCAGATGCTGCTTGAGTTAGGCTTGGGCGGATCCTGCGCCTTCTTTGGTTCATCCCAGGGCTGTAGTTCTCCCGATGCACAGCAGGCGTAGAAGATGCCGCAGACGATGAAAATGCCTGCCGTGACATAGAAGACAATGGACCATTGCGTCAGAGTGTTGCCATCCGGTCCACTGGTCAGTACGCCCACCAGGTAGGGCGCGACGATGCCCGGCACGGCGCCGATGGTGTTGGTAATGCCCATGAGAATGCCGGCATACTGCGGGGCAATGTCGATGTGATTGATGGCGAAGGATGCCACGGAGAAGGCCAACATACCTACGGCGCAAATCAGCAGAATCACCGTGGCCACCACGTTGCAGCCGACGAGGGTCACTGCGATCAAGCAGCCGGCGGCCGACAGTTGGCCGATTAGATGGTAAGTGCGGCGGACTGCGGTTCTGCTGAGGGTACGGGAGTTGATGAGCTTATCGGCCACGATGCCCAGGACCTACAATCCACATAAAAGGTGAAAACAGGCTCACTCATCGGTATTAAAGCGGGTGAATGCTGTTTAATGCACAGTATTAAATCGGTTTTCCATGTGGCTATCTGCTCTGACCAGCTTACCGTGATCGCAGCATGACTGCACACATTTATCGGAAGCGGTCAATTCGGCTTCTAAACCTGATTTTAGTTTTGGTTTTTCTTCTCTTCGTACAGCACATTTTAAACTAAATAATGTAGGGCGGGACGCTCCGCATTCCTGAGTAGCTATTCGCTGTTTCTGGGGATTTCCACCCCGCACATTGCTGCGCTGTTTTGACGGATCTGCAGCACAGTTGCACTCGCTGCAGATCCTTCCTTGTTAGTCTGGTGTTGCTGCGCCACGGTGCGCATTAGATTCGGCAATAAAGCCTCATCCGGGTTCACCGCTGTTCGCTGTCGAGGATACGCGTGGCGCCCATACGGCCCCGCGTTATAATAAGGCCTGCGATTTGACTTTATTAATTTTATCTGGTACTTCTCGCTTCTGGCAATCGTAATCATAGCTGTTTTGTGGCCCAGCATGCTTTCCAACCAGAACAGTTGTTTGCTCCCTCGAAGCGCTGAATAAGCCATTCAGTTGAGATGTTTTAAAAGCATCGTTTCAACACTTTTGAGTTAGTTGTAAGCTGTGGCATCTGACATGACCTTACCGGCATGAGTAAGCCCAGCGCTAAGTACGGCACTGCCGCGATGAATCCATTCTGCTCCATCCTAAAATGCAGCACCCGGGCCAGATAGGACGGCAGATTAGTCAGCAGGGTAAAGAAACCCCAATCTTGTCCGAAGAAGGCCACACAGATGGCGTAAAAGGGCAGGGAGCGAGCGATCCGTGACCACGGGATATTCTGCGGCCTGCCGTCGGAGTGAGAAAATCGATTCCCGATGACGGCCATTAGGAAGGCCTTCTCCGTGGCAGAGATACGGGGATGCTCCTCTGGGGAGTTGTAGGCGAAGAAGAGCCATAGGACGAACCATACACATGCCAGACTGCCGAACACATAGAAGACACTGTCCCAGCCCAGATGCTCCGTTAGCACACCGGATATTATCAGCGTACAGACGGTGCCAAAGTGTGTTCCGGAATAGATGAACATGCTCAACTGCAAAGTTTAAGCCATTACTTCGAACTCACGCACGGATTACAGGAACGCTTTCATTCTCGTAAACTGATATTGTAACGCAAAGTCTTAAACGCACCATGGTGCGCTCCGAGGGCGGTATCCATTTGCCGCACATTGCGTGCACACAAGGAAAACTGACTCCCTACAAAGATAAGCATCAGTTTATTGATCCCTGCTCGGTATTCCACCGAATTTCTGGAATATTATCTCTTACCCCCACAAAACCTTGGAGAAAACGCACCACAATCAGCGCCCACAGGTTCCAGCGGGTCAGTACGGGCAGCACCAGTGACAGCAGCCCCGATGTGAGCAGCGCCAATCCCAGGACATATTTGGCTCCAAAACGGTTGGCCACCCAGCCGCCGGGAAACTGTGTCAGGATGTAACCGTAAAAGTATGATCCCAGCACGATGCCCTGTGTGGTACCGTCCCACTCGAATTCTCCGGCTGTATGCTACAAAAGTGAATGAGCATTTGTAGCAATAAAAATAGCATAAATTTACCAGATTTTATATTTCCGAATGTGATGACTCAGCCACACAAAGGTCATGGGATCAAGTAAACGATACCGAGGAGAAAAGTATGTATCTAGTATAGTATGTACATTGTAGTACCGTCGTCGTCTGTACCGATGCAAAGTGTTCCGCTGTACATTCATGCAGAAGTTGTTTTGCTGCCTACCTCGAGTACGTTGTTGTTCGAACGGGAGGCATTAGGATACGGACACGAATCTTCACGCTGATGGATCTCTGAGGCATTGAGCGTCGTGGTGTTGATCGTTCTGGCTTTGACCATTGCCACAATGGCCACGCTCAGGTCGACGTGTAATGCGTACGAGTTAAACAATCCAACGAAGGCTAGTATAGCGAAAATATACCGGGCTGGAAATTTATGGCCTCCTGGAAAGCAATGAAATCTGTATTAGCCAGAGTGCATGAATTTCCCCTCCGCAATAGATTGTCAACAGCCAAGTCAAGATCGAAGGGCGCAAAACACTGTGGAGTGTTAAGATAACTGTAAAACTACTGTAATATACCGGCATCACGTAAGGCTCTGCACAACGTTCGCTGAATGATTAAATGGATAACATTCTGCTTCCAGATACTTACATAATTATTCAAAATTTAGCAGTCCCCGCACTGCGATAATGTTCTCACCTTTATCTAACAGCACCGTAGCATGAACAGCAATCGGCTTCTCTTGTCCTTTTGAGCCCGGCATTCCTACACTTGCACCTATCCAGTGTATCTACCAGTAATCCCGTTTGACTGAGATAACTTTGGTAAGGAAGTGAACCTGATTAATCCAAATCGTTATTATACGTCATTTTTATACTACGTTATACTAAAACATTATCTAGCGTAAGACGCATCATCACAACGGAAGATTGCCGGAAACGAGTAAAACTTCGCGCCGTGATGTTAAACGGATAGAAACTAGTTTTTACGATATGCAATGCATGCCTGCTTACTAGAAACCCGGAAATCGAATAGAGCCAGAGTGTAGAGTATATGAGCCGGAAGGTGGACGATAACCGGGCTTAACCGAATGAATCCACCACTAAACCATCATTAATAAAGAACGTAAGATGACAATATATCCGCACTTTCTTTTAAACCAAATCAGCTAACGGAACCATCGTTAACGACCATCGAACCAGCCATTACCAAGATTTTGCATCAGCTGAGCTGCAGCGGTTACATGCCGCCTGGTTAACGCCAAAGAAATTTTGCACAATTGCTGATTGATATGCCCGATTGATGATTGATAAAATGTATCGAACGGTATTGGTGCTGTTGTAACGAATAAGGAAATTAAATAGCCGATCGGCCATGAACGCGGCTTCTCGGTAGTCGGCATCACGCGTGAAATCCGTTATCGCGACATTTGTTGCGGCGGCTCGTTGATACTCGAAACCTATTTATGCAATTTGAGCACGTGGTTGACGACAATCATTAAGCAGAGTTATATGCAATCGGACATGACAGATCTGTTCACGTATCTTTCACATATATACTTCTACCAATGAATGCTTTTGCTTAACGCTGCTTATTTGCAGCGGTAGCTCGGATATTTCGACACGGTGACATTTCGCCGAGGACAGTGACATCAAGAAGCAGGACATTTGGTCAGAGACATAACACAGCGAGACATTTTTTTGCAAGACAGTTTCGACGTCGAGCACTTCGTCATTTAGACTAATATGTACCTCGTAGTTTACCAGGTTTGATAAAACCGTCTAGAAAACCAAATAAACTAAAACGATATAAGAAAACATAAGAGAGCATAAGAAAACACTGGAAACCTAAGAAAAGGTAGGAGAATATAAGAAAACGTAAGAAAACATAAAAAAGTAAGGCAAAAATTATATCCTAAAAGCGTACTTTTCTTGCCGGGCGGTGTAAAACGAACGCTGCTGCAGCCGCAGAAAGACGGCATCTGCAGAAGCTGCTCTCCGTGTAGTTTGTTAAGCTTTCGCCGTAACTGCCTTTAAAGGAGACATACATGGTTTCCGCCTTAAAGACAAAACAAAAAAATTGACTTTAATAATCCATCGTCCAGTTGACCAGTTGTATTGTTCAACTGTCCGTTGCTATCCTTTCGCTATATGACTACATCTGTCAGCTTAACCGGGTTCTGCCATTAGAAAATCAGTGAACGAGGATGTTTTGTCATAAACGGGATTGATATGGCCAGGCTGTATTCAGCCAGCCAGGTTCCTTTCAAAGGATTTTTCGCATGCGGCGAAGAACGAAAATATGTGTAAGGCTGTTATGCCGGTCTATTCACTCAACGGTGTACAGGATTCTTTTTATTTTATAGTTTGCGGGACGCGCTGGTTAAGATTTCAGCGTATTCACTTTTCCGGTGTATTTGCTTCAAAGGTGTAGGTACAGGCAGGTTTTACTGCATCTGCAACGCTTAGGCACTTTGCTGCAACAGTCTGGATTTATTTAATGCCGTTGAGGAGTAATGTTGACGCGAATGTTTGCCGAGAATTTTGCTCGGCAATTTCTCAATATCAAGCACCAATGAAAGCAGTTCTGGCACCTGCCGTCAAAATGGGTTAAACTAAGCGAAGTGCAGAAATGCATGTCCTTCTCCCGCTCCTTTATCGAGCAGTCATTTATCGAGCTGTATTTAATAATTTGAATAATCCACCGAAGGGAGGAGAGAGATTACTGTTTCCACTATATTCAGTAGCGTGATAATAATATCAAGATCTAATTACGGTTAAACAAAACAACATTCTCAACCGTCCCGATTACTGAAGCAGCATTACCACGTTGAATTGCTAAAGAGATGTTCTGTTTCAAAAACTCAAGACTACGAATCTCGCCGGTTGGTTGCGAAATCCTCTTCCCAATTTCGTTAACAAAACGTTTGGCAGATGTACCAAAACTACCGAAAGTCTCGAAGCCGACAGCCGTAAATTCATATCGCCTCAACAGAAAACTGTACTTTCTTGCTTCTCAGCTTCGGCATGGTCTGCTGCCGCTCCGGCCTTACTGTCTGATCCAAATACGAGCGGGCAACAGTATCAACACAGGTAACATCCCATGCCTAACACAGTCCCCTTGTCCATGGGAAAGTAGTGATGCCATCGGGGTGTTTTTCGTTTTCATGATGCATGCCTCTCGGTTCAGTCCTTGCGGGTATGCCTGCTGAGCCAAGAGCGCGTCGCAAAATGTCGTTAATGCAGTCATGTCTAGCCCGTCTGCCCGCTGAAAATTTGCAGCTCAAGCCATGGTGACCGTCTGCAGCAACGTCGCTTCCGCATTTGCACTAGTGGTCGGATGGTGCGGGTGCGCCAAGCCGAATCGCGACGGCGATCCGAAACGACTCATCATCCAAAAGGTTTCCAAATAAAGACGATGGAAGTGCGTGTATCCAGGCGCCCGGCTCCAGAGTCGAAACAGCTGACAGCCGAGCTTTGCTAGCGCCGTCCTTCGTGTAGCATAGTTGCCTGCTCTACCAAACAGTACGGAGTGTCCCATGCGCGTTGCAGGTGTCGGCTTTCGGGTAAAGGAGGCGATGCATCGTCGGACAGGTACCTCCAAAGACCACGCGATCCGTCACGGCTACTCCTACCGAATGCGGCAGTAGTCGGCAAACGAGGCCTTGGGTAGCGTGAATCGAGGCCAAATAGGCCGGCAAAGATAAGGAGAGAGAAACAATTTTACTGCCCCTGAGAGCAGCGCTGTCAATTAAAAACACCTGGGAATTAAATGCGGAATCGTCTTAACCGTCGGTGTATTAGTTGCCAGATTTTACTGTAGACGTTTGGTTGTCGATCGGTTTTACGATAACATTCAGGGGCAATCAGGACTGCTTTTGTTGCAGCTTGATGAAAACTTCACGAGCAGACGATCACTTCAAACAGTACGCCGTGTGGATTTGCGTGTAGGCCTCCTTGAGCGTGTCCACAGCGTCCTGTCCATATTTTGCAAAACAGTTCTGGGCCATCGGAACCTTTCATTCGTCCCTCCACTTCGCTGAGATTTCTGCAAAAAATGCCTAAATTTACACGAGCCAGAAGAGAAAGTAAAATTGTGATAAAGCTTATTAATTTTATGTTATGTCGGTAATTAGCAGATAAGTTCTTCTAACGCCGCTATTCGGTGCAAATTTACCGGCAGAATGCCCGGTGAGCAGCCGCAGCGTTTTCCTGTCTTAACGCCACCGCCTTCCGGCCCCACGAAGCAATATTACTGGAGAACCGTCCGCGCTTTCTGCAGACAGTGCGTGGCAGCGCGATGGAATTTCAATTCTCCGACGGTCTTATCTCAGATTCCGGCGAAGGAGATTAACACCTCGATGATATGCCGTCCGTCAGTGAGGTTGTGCCTTCTTCTGGGCAACGGGTAAATAGTTCTTTCTGGCAATGACCGCTGTTGTTGGACGGTCTGCAATCCCAGTGTTATAATGTATGTTTATGATCGGAACGATTAATTAACAATAATTCTACTATTAAGTGATATGAAACCATTTACAACACACCGGCAGTGCGCATCGGCAAGATGACGGGATTCTTGAAGAAACTCTTCGGATACGGGCCATACTGAACTCGATTCCGGGTCTGTTCCCAGTAAGTGCATCACGCTGGAGCTTTCATTTTTTTGGTAAGCCGTACACTGTGCTTCCAGTTCCGCGCATGTTTGACCGAATACGGTGTAGATGGACCACATACAGGAAATCACCAATACTGCTGTAAAAATTTTGTTATTCATTCTGACTAAGTGGCTTCAGCCACCTTTCTGGTTGTTAAGAACCTGCTAATAGTGTGTCGGAAAATTTGCTGCACACGCTGAATGGCAATCGTAGCATACGCTTATAACTTCGAATCGAAGTTATAAGCGTACTTTCGAAGTCTTCGAAAGTATTCTCATGTAAGCAGTAATGCTTGGCAGATACGCATCTGAAAATTGCAGTGATTTTTTCGATAAGATCAAGAGGCTGTTCTATTTGGTTGACGAATAAGCAGCTGATATCAAATTGTCTGATGCTCGTATGTTACACCTAGCTCAGTGCTCCAAAATTTTTCGTCAACGCAATACCATGAAATGGTTTAGTCAGTACCAGAAATGCATCGTTTTGACCGACGAGACACCTGGGATATTCTACACCTGTTCAACTAATTCTTAACTTTTATGTCTGCAAAATTGTTGGCCGAGTCGGTGATAAAATTAACAAGCGGGAACAAGAGGCAACGAAAGCAGCATAAGCATTGTTATAGACAGGAATTAAAAACAGCGAGCAATGGCATAAGAGAGTATCGATTTGTTGAGGTACATGTACGGGCATTAGGAACATACCGAGGAAGCCAGAGAGATAAAAACCGACACGTTTCTTCCTTACTGCACTTTAAACTTTTTATCCGGTAAAAATGACTATGGTACTTATAGTAAACACTGTACAGGCGAGATAAGATATTAGCATAATTGTCATAAGTTTGGTTTTTTTAGCTCGTATAAGTACTTGTATTACAGGAAGTGATCTAATATCTGCGATTTGTTAACGATTTTTTTTTGTGTTTCACCGCTCTGATCGCTAGCAAACGGCATCGTAGACATAGCGCTGTGATTTTCTTTTGCAGTATTCATAGAGCTCTTGACTGGTTTGGTCAGTGACTGCATTAGTGGATGTCGCTTAAAACAATGACTGAGAAGATGCCGAGCTGGCTCCTTGTGTCATATGCTCCTCAGCTTGAAGCTGAATAAAAAAAGCTGACAAAAAATGCGTTAGCCTAGCGGCACAGTTCCGGCTTAGCTGACGAAATTTCTAACGCTCCCGCATCATCGCTTAAGTTTTAGTGCTAAGACATGTTCAGCGCGCTTTATCTCTGCCGAAAAATGAATGATATCATCCAATGGCTGAAGAAATTAACGGTCTAATATGTCTTCTTGTGCCATAATTTATATGCGCATTGTACGTCGATGTGCAGACAAGCCACGTTCACACGGATTCTAGCAAACAATAAATACCAAATAAAAGAAAAAAACTTGAATTTCCATGTGCTTGCAACAAAACATCCCTCCGGCATTTTGCATGGTGTTTGCCGCACAAACACGCGACAAATTAATCAGTCGTCATTTTCGATGTTCATCTCACTCAGTGAAAAAGAAACTGAAAGGCAGTTTTCAAAGTTTTCCTTCAAAAAAAATTCTAGATACCTTATTTTCCGTTCAACAAGCTCACAGCCTATACAGTCAATAGGAAATATGGGTATAAGTTCACAAAGGAAGCGCATGAAACTGCTGCTTCAGCGCTCGGTGAGACTGCCGAAATTCGCCCGGCAAAATGGAAGGTAGTTCTGCAAAAGTTACAAGCCTGGTCGACAAACATGGTGGGCCAGTGTCGACAGTTTATGGGAGCGTGCGGCATTACTGGGAGCGTGTATTGTGCTTACCGCGTGGAATTTGTTTCTTCGGCTGTTCCGTGCCCCTATGTTGATATCCGGGAAGCAGATTGTCGTGAGAATAATTTTCTATGTCTGGTTCGCGGGATGGATATACTTGTTTGTTCTGTTGTCAACCATCCCAGATCCCCATGATAATCGAAAAACCGTATTTGGTATTTTCTTAGTGTTTTTCTTTTTTTCCCCGTGGATAATGTATGTGAGCTACTCCTATAACACAGCACTCGCCAGCTTTCTTAAAGATTTTGCAGTTATTTCACCCGCTGAATTATACGACATTATTGGTCCCTCCCCATCAGGTACGCAGACACCGCAATTCCGTTAAACTGTTGGCAGTTCTGACTGAGGATTGCCAGTTTGATTTGTTGCAAAAAATAGCCGCAAAAGGACTTTTTACCAAGCGCATTTCGAGTTGAAGCTCTATTATTGAATTTCGCTACATTAGACTGCTACGCTTTATGTAACCTTTCCATTTAACAGCCATTACAAGTTATTAGAAAATAAAAACCGGAGACCATATGATGGCACCAGCTACTTTGTGTCCGGAAATTTTGTCGTCTAATCTGATTCAAATTAACTCTATAAGAGCAAATCAGAAAAGCTACCGGCCACCTAAAATACATTTAATTAACCAAAGGAAAAATGTACAGTACGTAAGGGGGTCAAGCACTTTTAGCAGTTAGCTCCGTATGTAAATTTGCGAATGGCGTCTAAAGCATAAGAACCCAGTGGAGATGTATGAATATTATTTTATTTGGTTTTACAGCGTCATACCTTCACAGTAGGTCAACAACACTACGTACACACTGCTGTATTAAGATTGAAAAAAACAACCAAACTCTCCATTAACAATCTTATTCCTTCCTGGCAAAGTGCAAAACTGGCTTACATTTCCCTTCATGATAGCCAAACTAATGCGTTGTTTGAGAAAGACCGTGGATCTGCTCGCCTGTCTTTCCCTAATCAGACGTCCAAAGAACTGACCACTTCATAGCTTCTCCTAGGACTCCTATCGTCCTAGGAGAAGCTGCTAAGTACTGTCGGAGATTATTTGTGTCCGGAGCCAGACGTCTTGCTTGCCAATGTGAAACATCGCTCGAAAAATGCACGATAGGAGTACAGTAATCTATTTTTTCGTCTTCGAAAACACGTTCGCTTTGTTGGCCTGTATTTATCAAACGTCAAGGCTACAATGACTTCTAATCTGGAGTGTCATTTCGTTTCTCAGCAGTTACCAGTACCAATTTTCATGAACTGAATGTCAATATCAAGAAACATTACCGCCAATACAGTGTTTTAATAGCCAGGCCATCGCCAATGACCAATTATTTTTGCTGATTCCAGACCTCCCACGCCTGGGCTGCAAGATGCAGTGCTACCATATGGAATATATTAGTAATGGAAGTGTAAGATGTGATACGTGGAGCGGAGAAGAGCCGTTTACCTGTGCTGATGTCACCGACATTTCATCTCCGCCGCTTCCTACCATCAAGGAACTCAACTCCGTAAAAGTAACCCTGATCCAGTTGTCGAAAGAATTCAGATTCGCTGATGGGATTACGGCTGAAGCATTCCGACGCCAGGAGAAGACCTTCCAGGAAGCGAATCGCCATCACGATTTACATCATGACCTGCAAGCAGTTCTTACTATTCCCGGTTTTCAAGGAGCAATGATAGTTTCAGCGCAGCCAGCACCAACCAAACCGTTCATCTTCGGCAAATATTTGTATATTTTGGCACTATGCATGCTCCTGGACCTACCTTACTTATGTATTTGCAATCTATACTGGTCAAAGATCGTCAAGCACACGGTTATTAAAAAGTTTGGCAAGCCGCTGGACGCACGCGGCCGGTTAACCGTAGCTGGATTATCACCGGACTAGAAAATCCGTCCGTCAATTTTGCGACAATACCTACAGTGCAGGTGCATCAAACAGCTCGGAAAACCGCTGGCCGTGACTATAAGTTAGCCAAAAATTCCGTTTTCGAAACGAGAAGCTTTGTTCAGAATGTTTTAAGCCAGTGATGCGTTAAAGCTGATAATTACTGTATAACCTCCAATATTATACATCACTTTTTTTGTCGTGAGTGCTAAAGTCAAACTTACACTTGTTTTTAGCCACATCTGTACAATCAATACGAACGTTTTCTTTCATAACTACTTGTCATTTCTGTTTATCCGGACAATCCGTGTTGTGATAAGTGCGATAACGAGTACTTCGATATTTGTTAACAACCGGTCAGTTTATTAAGGCAGTACTTCCCTTTCCTATTTGAGATAACCGTTGCCCACAAAATCCTTCGGTCGATGCTGTCAGCTGGTGGCGGTAATATTTTTCAGGTTTTATCAGTGAGCGCCTAGGCTCCTTCTTCTCGCAATAATCAATTTCCTTAAATTGATTTACGAGCACAAGGGCATCTGGTGCGCAGCCGAAAATAACTCGTGTATTGCATATTGCGCAGTGAATAACAATCACAATTAAACATGCTCTTGGTCATATGGAAGTCTGTTTATGTATCTGAAGAATGTCATAGCGCTTAGAAGTCTTAAATATTTTGAAGGAAATGTTGCCAAGAACGCAGCATTACCGGCGTCTTCAACGTTCCTTCCACACCTATAATATAGCACATTTCGATCGCTGCTTTTGATGTTTTCATACGCATCCTAGAAGATACCGGTATACCGAAAAGCACCAGTTTAGTTGTTTTCTGTGCCGATAATACCTAGTTCTTCACTTACCAGGGCACATTTTCCGGGTGTAAATTCAGAAAAATCTCATCTCTTGTAAAGACAGTATACTATCGTATGTTCAAATGATTTGGCAGATGGAATAATTTTTTTAAACATACTACGGTAGTATACTATCTTTTTACAAAAGACGAGATTTTTTTGAATTTACACCCGGAAAATGTGCCCTGGTTAGTAGATAAGACCACAAGAGATCACAGCAGCCATGCGAGCAATATGGATTCGGTATACAAAGTATTTTGAGATGGATTAAGAAGGCAGCGCATGAATTATTAGCTGTTACGCCAGCGCTCGGTGCCGCTTCCGACTCCACCCGGCAAATGGGATGACGTTATCCCACGAATACCTGGCTGGTTAATGACTTTCATTTTTAGCCATAGAAAAATGCTTCGCTAGCTTGGTTCTCTGTGCGGTAATCTTGGAGTCTCCGCGCAAAGTTTATTTTCGAGGCTCTGCCGCACATCCATGTTCTTGACCTGGTGGGAAATTATCGGCAAACAACTTTTCTACGCGTGGTTCGCAGGGTTCATACATTTGATAATTTATTTGGAGCAGAAACAAGACAACGCTTGGAAAGGAGTTTTGTTTACGTTAGCCTTCCCTTATCTAGGCTACTTATTCTTCTGCATCCGCAGCCATGCATTCTACTGCGTCAATCAGGAATTTGTCGTTGTATCGCCGTCTGATCTTTACGCGCATATCGAGAGCACTCGATCAGGTACATACAGCAATGAAAACGTGCATAGGATTAAATATCGCTTTACCTTTTGTGTGCCTAAATATTCAAGGTTTCAAAGTTATCAAAATATACTTCATTAACATTTAAAACTTAAAATAAAATATTACTTATACGCTTGTATTGAATTTAGTCCATCCTTGGCTGGGTTGGCAGATGGATTGCTACCATGCCGGATACCAGCTATTTCTCGATGCCAGAATGCGTTATACATGGAGCGGTGAGGAGGAATTGAAATGCGCTGATGTTCAAGACATATCCGCTCCGTCACTTTCCACTATTGCCATTTCAAAAGTTACCCCAATAAATGTGTCGAAAGATTTTGTCTTTGCCGAAGTTATGACAGCTGAAAGGTATAAACGGAAGAAGAGAGATTTTCTGGAGGCTGATCGTCACCGCGATAAACTGATTGACATCCAGGCAGTTCTGCATATTCCAGGATTACAGGAGACGTAATGACAGTTTCAGCGCAACGCACATTGACGAAACCGTTCCCACTTTGCCAACGGTTGTATGTGTTGGCCGTGTGCCTGTTGATGGATGTGCCTTATCTGTATTGTACATTTGCAGCTTATACTGGCCGAAGATTATTGAGTACAGAATTATCAAGCAATTTGGAAAGCCGGTCGACATTCCGGCTTCTTAACCTCCGATGTTGACCTGCAAATAAACTTTGTACAGTAGAACTGGTTCGTCGGAAACCAACAATCGGCAGTGTATTCTTGTCTCAATACAGCACAAACAACGGGTTTATTTTGGGCAAATCTTATGTGTGAAAATATTTAGTGTGTCTCGTTTCTTTTATAACTGAAACGAAATAACATACGTACCCTGTACATAAAAAAATGCTCTGAACTGCTTTGAACTGCTGCTTCTTTTTAGGCAACTACTAGCATACTTACGTTTGCCCGTTTCTGTAAATGTTTTATGTATTTCCGTTAGAATGACATAATTTTCGATAACGACAAGTAAAAATTTTTCTTGCAGAATCGTGGTTTACGTAATTGATCAGCTTTATATTGTGCTGTCTCGTATAGATTTGAAACGTAAAAAACAGAACTTTTCGCTCCCGATTAGCTAATTAGTCGCGTACCCGAAAAATGCATCTTCCGCATTGTTTCAGATATCAGGCATTTGTATTATAATTACAGATCACTTGGTAGTTTGGCTGCTCTCTTTCCATCGCTTCCCCAAAATACTTTTGCCGAAAAAACGTTTATCTTACTTCAAGCGAACAGTCGCATAAGAACTGAAATACTATTTTTCTCCAAAAGGCAATCGACCCATCCAGTCTTACAAGAATCCCTGTGCATAAAAGTAGCAAAAGCGTACGCGCTTTACGCTTTTGCTACTTTTATTAGCAAGAAATCTTTCCTCGGGGATAACTAGGTAGAATAATACAGTTTCCAGTAAATTTTCAGCAATCCGCCAATCCGCTTTCCAAAGGACCAGTAAAGGTAAATTAAACACAGCAAAGCGCACACACAGTTATACTGTATTTTACAACATTTGCCAACTGCACAATGAATTCCAGTGACTGCCACGTAAAACACCCACCACACAGTCTTTTGCTGTTTGTCATGCTTCTACAAAACTATAATACTATGTAAAAGATAACCATACAGACGAAGATAACATTAACGTCGATGCATACGGTAAGAAAAGAAGCTCTGAGTACACATTATTATATCTACGGTATATGTTAAACATCGCGAGCGACTCGGTGTCTGATGCTGTTGAATCTTACACTGAAAGCTGTTCTGCGACTGCTGAATAAATACAACTATCGAGTATCGTAGCTGATAAGGCTTCTGTACCGATTATGACGCATGTTGAATTAACAACTTGTCTTCAGCATTTCTCTCTTGCAAAAGCGGTAAACCCGGGATTTGTGCCAACTGCCGAGTACCGCTTCGTTTAGAAAAAAATCAGCCAAGCCGTGACGGCGGGAGGGTGCATGTTGATCTCTATCGGCGCACCGTAGCACTTCCTGCCCAGACCTGGCCATTGTCCCGATGCGCAGTTGGCAAAATTGGGCATCCAGATATTGGCCGGGTAACCGGCATACGCGGCTTTGACTGTACCGTTGAAGTTCCTACCTGTTTGGGGGAAATTTATTAGAGCGAATAAATGTTGTTTAACCGGCTCAACATTTTGTGGATATTCGTTCTAACCTTACTATGAGCGCAGCATGATTGCCGCATGACTGCGACCTTATCGAAAGCTGGTTAAACTGTTTCTAATCCTGGTTTTAAGTTGGTTCTTCTTCCGTTCTTACGGGATATTCTTATAACTTAGGGCTCCAATCTGGCAGCACAGTTAACCGTTGTTTCTTCATCCTGATTATTGTAATCATAGTGTTGTGATAATGCGTAACGAGTAGCGCAAAACTAATTTTAACATTTTTTCCATTCGTTGATATATCAGTTTAATCTCAAATTTTTCATTTACGTCAGTGGGAGTAATATATCTGTACTTCCAAGGGAATGTGTGTAAAGGCACACGAGAGTACGTGACACGGAGTTTTCACGTTACGAGCAATAATCGTTTTTGGGAAAAGCTGATAAAGTACAGATTTACTGTGTGAAATAATTTTAAAAGGCGCTGGATATGCCTGCTTCTTATGCCCGGATGTTGACTTGTGAACAAACTCTAAAACTTGTGCCAGGAACCCATAACGGACAGTGTATGTGGGGAAATATTTGGTATGACATATTCCTTCTGTTTTAAATGAAATACTACTTTACATTAAGTACACAAAAAGTTAATCTGATTATCTACTTTGAACACATAATTTAACAGCTGCTACTTTTTGAGCCAAAAAATTTATTAACATAGTCACGCACGCCCGGTTTTCTTCGAATCTGTTTGTTATTTTCCCTTCCGAATCACGTAAACGTCGAAAACGGTAAGTAAATAATTTCTTTTGACAAAATATCCGATTTAACCGCAAAACAGGGAAGACCAATTCGATCACGATTTAGCTAATTCAGACGTCCGAAAGATACGATTACAGATACGCCTTTCACATCGTTTCAAATACCAGGCATCTCAATTACAGTATTAATATAGATCATATGCATGTGGTTGTTTGGCTGCTCTCTTTCCCCTCTTCACATAATTCCTTTTGCAAATAAATGAATTAATTTCAAACGAAGGGCAACACAAAAACTGGAATAATATATTGTATCCGGAATCGCTCCACCCATAAAAAAAATCTTGTACGTGAAAGTAGCAAAGGCGTATGGGCATTTATGCCTTTGGAACCTTCACTAACAAGAAATCTTTCTTCAGGCATAACAAGTATGATCATACTGATGCTAGTAAATTCAACAATCTGCTAAGCAGCCGTTTTCAAGTTATCGGTAAAAGTTAAACACAGCTAAGCGCACTGACACCGACGTTATGCTTTAGAACATTTACCAACTGCAAAATGTTTCGCCGTCTGTGCAACGTATAGCACTCATCAAGCTGTGTTTTGGCGTCGTTAGCCATACTGAAGTATGCTTCTGTATAAACATAAGCATGCAGACGAAGATAAAAATTAATATGCACACGGTAACAGCGCCTTTAACGATATAAAACTACGATACGTCTGAACCGAATATCGCAAGCAACCGTGTAGCTGCTAAATCTTGCGCTGATGGCAGTTGTGCGACTGATAAATAAATGTTAGCTGATAAGGTGTCCGGGCCGTTTATCATAATATTGCATTTGCAAAGTGAATACAGCACTTTTCTCTTGCAAAACGGTAAACCTGGCATTCACGGCGTGTACCAGTTCAATGCCCGTTATAATTTAAAAGAAAGCCAACAAGCCGCGATGTGATGCTTGTTGGTGGCGGTTGCGCACACTTAATGTATGCAGCGCAAACTGAACCTAACTCCACGTTTCACATGCATTACGAGTATTCAATGACTCATATAGGACTGTTTGAAGTTTTTGTAGGTCCCTTAACCACTGAGTAAAAGCCCCCATAATACGATTACATCCTTTCGATTACTGCGTTATGGTCACCCCTTGTACTCGTACATGATACCTAGCTCGACGAGCGAAAGACAAGTTCACGAAAACCCCAGCACTACATAATTTGCTATCGCCCTCTTTTACGATTGTCAGTCACTGCTTTGGACAAGTCGGTGTAGCAAAGGTTGATAACGAAGAGTTAACTGTCTAATGTAAAAACAAGTCACTAACTTGGATTCAGTATAGTGCTATTGAATTGTCTTAATAAAAGCACCATAAAAATATCAAGAGCTAAATAATCGGATTGCATCCGATCCGATTTGGATACCGTTCAGTTACGATGATCACATGCCTTTAGTTTCGAAAAAAGCCAACGGAAAAAATCGGATTCGGACCGAATTCTATCGAACTCAAAGCGGACTCGAATTTCAAAGTTAAATCCGGTGATTATCTTTGTCCAATGGCTTCCGCTTTCCATCGCGTTCTAGCGACTGTGCTGCCGGCCGCCCACCTTGGCGCGGAGACTGACCACGGTCACTGGTCGAAGGCGCACGCGGTGGCGCATTAAATTTCATCCGCCCACCGCCGGTGGCCGGCTGTAGAGGTGGCGGCTTCATAGTCGCTGGCGTTGGCTCCTTCCCAGATTTCACAGTATTCTTCTTCGTTTTTGCTTTGGATGCAGGAGCGCTGGTGCCGCGAGTGGCCGGTTGTGGTGGTGGCGCATTGACAGTCGGTTCGTTAACCGCCACCGTTGGCTCCTTCCCCGCTTTAACTTTATTCTTCTTTGCTTTCTTCTTGGGTGCAGCAAGCTGGAGAAGTCGGCTAGGGGTCATCAGAACTGCAGTCTTCTGCTGGAACAAGCGAACCTGCGATGACGTCTTGGCCGTGATGATCGTCTCCAGGCGCTCGCAGAAAACATCCAACTTTGCCTGTTTATAGAAGGATGAGCGATATGCACAGACGGTCGAAAGTTGATGACGAATAGACGGCGAGCCGCCACTTTGTCTAGCCGAATAGACTTGATGCGGACCCGCCACGAAGTTAAGTTAGCGTTTTATTAAACTATTTTAGTTTCCTCTGGCCTCTTGGATTAGATTTCTTAGGTTTCTTATATTCTTCTTGCTTTCTTAGTTTTCTCAGATTGTGTTGTGGTCTCCCAATTTTAAAAAGCGGTCACCCTCGTAACGGTCGGCGTCGTGCGGTCGGTATTTTTACGGTCGACGCAGTGTTATTCGGTAAAGCGCCGGTGAGTCGAATAAACGGCATACCTGTTCCTTCATGTGTGGAGTACACATGTGCAACATTAAACACACGCACTCCTTTCGATTCTCCTTTCGCTAACGTTCTCCACATCCTTGAAAGCATCCCCCGCCGGGAGCAGCTGTTGCAATACACCGATAATCGTACGATCCACAAGCAAACCAATGACATGCAACTGTGCCAGAAATTTACAGCAAAGAAAAACAATCGACAACCAGTAAGGAGGATACGGTAATTATTGGGTTTTACCGAATAATGCAAAGATAGCGATTGTGAGCGCTCTCTACATTCTTGCGCAACAATTCCGACCCTTCTTCCCGGCGCAGGCTAGCTTCCAAAGCACCGTATTCTGTGTCGGTTTTTTCCCAACCCTGCTGCACCAGATTCACGAGCACTTTCCGGAAGCGCAGCGGTTCGCCTGGGGGATCGGCCACTTCCACGTCGGCGAACTGGGAGCACAGTCGGGCGCAGGATTCCGCGAGTTGTGGCTCGTCCAGTGCCTACGACGGACGACGCTATAAAAACCTGGTACCAAAACCATTCCGTGATGATTGTGCTGGAAAACCTTGTCCACAATCAGTGCCACCGTGGCTCTAACACGCTCCGCAGTGTCGAAACAGTTTAAACGGATCAAGTTCTCGGCTACGGAGGAGCTGTTATCGGGGCCCAATGTGGTCAGGAGTTTTCGCATGTTCATGAGATGTTCCTGGAAAAGAATTTCAAAGAGACTGAACCGATTACCTCTGCTCGTAAATGTACAACATTTCACAAAGTCCATACCACTTCGGTGGGAATGGGATTAGGGTCCGTCATGGTTTTTGAGGACTCCGTAATGGTTACGGGTTACACAACCGAAAAGAAAGTCAAAGAACCAGTGCCCGATACAAATAATTAATGAAACGAATACATTAACGAGAAACTGAGAAAGTATAGATTCCCTCGGGATAGAGTGAATGGCATAGCATGGCGCTAAAAATAACCGAGATTGGTTTGCATACAAAAATTACAATTTGAGAGTTGTCACGGCACACGGAAATAACGGCACCTTGCAGTGTTGTGTACTCTGTGCACTAGCTGCTGGGGTAAGCAACACACCTGCACTACTTTCTCATTAGTAATTAATTTATTGCTAACGAACGACAACTGTTCCCGCCCTTTGTAGCAGTGCACATTGATATACAGATACAGAAGACACAAATCTGACTAGGTTACTAAATCTAACTAGGTTTTTGGAGTGGATAAGTTACATGAGCTCTTTCTTTTGTGGTTTTAACATTCAGAGCTTCGTTAATTCCTATTTTTATGTTCACTGAGTTGTTTTCTGTAGTCGAAATTTATAAAGGAGTATACACCGGTTACCGCTCGTTTCAGTGTTATTTTTGAGATCTTTTTTGTACTCCTTGTCAGGTTTGTTAGACGACGTTGTAAGTCAGTAATTTCCATTTGTTTAGTAATTTATCGCACCGAACGTGATTGGACTAATAAAAGCCATGCCGAAAGCCATAAAACGGTCACGCTTGAAGTGATAATAAACAACTGCTTGGCGCTGCTTATGGATAAGGACCATTACTCACTGTTACTCGTACTGGATTATTGGTAAATATTCAGATAACATTCGTGGGCTAAAAATACGCCACTAGCTGATTTCGGAAGCGGTGTGGTGACTCGATGATTGCTCATAAACGGCTGATTATTCTTTACCGTTAAAATTTCAACGGGAAGGCGATTAGCTAATACCGTTTCGACCAAATTTACCAAGCCGATTTTACAATTTACATAAGGAGCACCTGTCCATTGTCTTGTTATCGCAAAACTAACTTCGCTTGCTTTGTTAGTTGTTGCATGATGCGGCACTAAGAAAATACACTTTGTACCGCATTATGCCACAGCAGCGGAAGTAGTTTTGTGATAAGAAGACAATGAGCAAATTCTCAGCATATCAAATAAGTATGCGTATAAAATAAGCAGCATATAAAATAAAACAAGACGCGCTGTCCAACAATTACAAACGAACTCTACAATTTTGAATAATTTTAAATAAACTTGCTGGCTGATTTGTCATGGAGCGATACTGGATCGCCATCTATTTTTTAAGCGGTAAGTTCTTCACCTTAAGAATTAAACACCTCCGTGGAAGCATGATTTACCAGCCTACAAAGCTGGGCGTTTCCACAAAGCGCAGGAAAAGCACCTCGAGCAGTATTGGTTTAAAACAGATGTTACTTTGTAGCGATTGTAGCCAGCGCTTCTGCGTGCGGTGGGACGATCAATTTCCAGTATTCGACATCGTATACGCTCTCGACCCCTGGATTTCCCTCATCGTCGTACCCCAACAGTGCCTGTGTTTGGAATGTGGAAACTCCAGCGTACCACAGCGTGCAGGTGGTTGTCGGATCTGTCAACCTTCTCGGCAACAGCGCGCCCAGTGGCTGCACCATGTCCGACAAAGTGGAGTTTGTACTGCCCACTGGAAGTATTGTGGGGACCGTTTGCACCAGTCACCAGCCGGTCAACACCATCGACAAGTCTAAGTTTAGTGTGCGATTCCAGCCACGCGGATTGGCGGAAGTAAATGGTGGGGTTTACGGTTTTAGCATCGAATTGCGAGGTAAGCCAAGGAAAATCTGCAAGTTGGTTGGTAAAATCTCTTCTGCTGTAATCTGCAGGCTGACCACAAGTTTCTGTACGTTTAGAAATTTTCCTGCACTTTCTTATTAAATTAGAAGGGCCTTTTAAAGCGTCATAGCGAAGCAGGCGGCGTAATTAATCGATAAAAATTCAGGAATTTAGAAGGCCACGTTTGTGAGGCACGGTGACACCCATCCTAGTTTATTCAAAGATGTGATCAATAACACCATAAATACTGTGCCGAAATGCGTAAGGAAAACCTCAGCAGCGGGTGTTTCCGATTCCGCAACCCTCATTTACCTAACAGTCTTACCTTTCTAGCCGTGCCGTACTACAATCTGGAATGCAAAACGGACGGCTTCAAGCTAACCATGCCGTTCAGTAAGCTGCAAAATCCTGCACTCTACCCGCACGACACTTACCAGCTCAGCGACTCCGGCTGCCGAGCCACGGTACTGGCGGATCGGGTAGAATTTACCGGCGGGTACTCAACCTGTGGATCCGTGTCTGATGCGGTAAGACATCTCGACCAAAAATAAGCACATTAACAACATATGGTGTATTAGGCTGCTGGTGGTATTTCCAACGTGGTGCTGATGGTGCCGAAACCCCCTCCAGCTCCACCTCGTCCCGTAGTTCGCCTACCGTTCCTGTGCAAGTTTCCGCGGGAAGACCTCATTGTCTCAACTGACTATGATCCCTTAGCGATACTCCCGTTTTGGGCTGGAAGGTAAAATACTGAACGGCTGTCGCGAAAAGAGTACCGGTGTCCCGAAACTTCACTTGGGCCGCTAGACGTACTGCAGCACTCGGTTACGTTCGATTTTATGCCTTACTTCTGACCTTGCAGAAGCCTGTTTCCCAGATATTCTACCAAAAGTAATAGAATCACGAACACCAGGGCCAATTTAGCTCAGCTGGAATCGGAAATTGACTTCAACATAAGGTAAGTACCCGTACAGAAATATGCAGTGCGTATACGTTGGTCGCCGTTACCTGATGCGGGATTTTCTGAGCGCAGACTAAACGTGTTCAACAACGACGAATTTCATCCTCTTGGAGAACCTAGCATGTGGCGTCCGAGTGACGTGTTTTTTGAAGTGGAAGCGCTGGCTGCAGCCCCTGAGTTTAAAGTGGCGGCCGAAGAATGCTGGTACACGGCAACCGCCGCAGCGGATGATCTAGAGAACCGCTACACCTTTCTTCACGGCGGGTAAGCTTACGAATTTTCTATTTTGTTCGTATGCTGCGACATGTCCATGATTCCTTTATCACCAAAGTAAAAATCAATACATTCCCGACGCTTGTTTACTTTGGGCTTAAAGTTCCAATATCGGTTTCAGTTGCTGACGGAATTAAAACCCTCCAACTTAAAACAGTATTAAGAAACTGGGAGACAATAAGCAGAATGTCGTATGCGGAATTACTTAATTAATATTAATAACAAATAGTATACGGTAACCGATAAACGGTTACATGCGCATACAAAGCAAGTCCAGCCGCTCGCCGCCGCTTCAAATACTAATCAAAAACAAGCGATATAGCTTTCATGATCCGCAGTTAACATACCGGTAGACTGTAAACGAGTTACTTAAACAGAAAGTCTCTTTAAAGGTGCCCTACCGACACGGACCCCATCGAACGTTATCCCTCATCCAACCACCACGATCGCTTTGCCCATACCTTAGGTCTGTCGTTGCCAGGCTCAGCGACCGGTCACCATTTCGTACACTGCCGTGTAAAAATCTGCAACGCCAACGACCCGTCGACCTGCACCAAAGACTGCGTCACTCCGCCGCCTCCCACGACCGCTGCCAGCCCCATCCCGCCCGGTACCTTGTCCGGAGTAATCAAAGATGCCGTGACGATGGACGAAATTAGCGGTGTACGGATCTTTGTCCAACAAAGCTGGACAGAGATCGGAACAACGCTCTCCGCCACCAATGGACAGTACTCTCTCTCGCTCCCTCCAGCGGCCGATTACGCGGTGACCTTCCAGACACCAGGTTACCACTCGGCCACTATGTCTGGCGTCCAAGTGTTCTCCGGGGAGAATACTATCCTTGAGGCGTTACTTTTTATCGACGTATCGTACGTTGGAGTGGGAACGGCATCTGGAACCACAAAGAATGCCTACAGTGGGGCTGTGGAAAGTGGTGTCACCCTTGAATTCCGAAGCGGTATTAACGTTCTATCAGGTAAAGTTCCTTTACGCTTAAGAAAAGGCTTGGTACATCGTACCAGAAAAAAAAACCTGTTTCCTAGAAGTTTCCCAGAATTTTCTAAACGTTTTGTTCAGTTGTTTTGGTAAAGCCTAACAGATATGACCTAAAACTGGTATGGTGCAGCTTTTGTCTAGGTTTGTGCCTTTTACAACAAATTTTTAAGAAGTTGTCCACAGACAGACTTTAGGTGTACGACGATGCATTTAAACTTTTTGTCTACCATGTTTTGTACCGTAAGTCTTGATTCAGAATGTTTTACATACGAGTTTTGTTGTAAATGACCAAACGCAACACACCCGATGGCGGTTTAACAAAATATCCATTTTTATCAACAGGGAAAGACTCCAGTGACATTTCTGCGTTTGGTTTTAGGAGTTATTCAAGCATCAGCCGTAAGCGACAGCAACGGATACTGGGAAGTAACCAGCCTCAGCACAGGTCACTATACGGCCGTGATGTCGAAACCCGGTTTCACCAACAACCACCTGACGGTTATCGTCCTCGGTGGGCAACGCAAGGACAACCAAAACGGAGTGATCTCACCTATCGTGGCCGCGGGAAAAATTCGAGTCGTTCTGAGCTGGGGTACCAACGATCCTCGCGATCTTGACTCGCATATGACCGGGCCAGTTAGTGGGTCTTCCAGTCGTTTTCATGTGTCCTACCAGGGTAAAGGCAGCGACACGTCTTCGCCGTTCGTTTCTCTGGACACAGACATCACCACGGGATATGGGCCCGAGACCATTACCATCAATCAGCAGACCACGGGAACTTATCGGTATTCCATTCAGGATTATACGTACAGGGGCAGCGCTTCGAGTGTGAAAATGGGCAATTCTGGAGCAGTGGTAAGAGTCTTGTTTGGTGACTCGAGTACCCCGGCGCGGACATTCAATGTGCCTAATTCGCCGGGTACCCTGTGGACCGTTTTTGAACTGAACGGTGACAGTATTACGCCTATCAACAGGATGACGTATCATGAAGACCCGGCCAGCATTACTTAGAGCAGTCCTGGCTCTTCTTTGCTCTTCTTGGTTCTTAAATCTTAATCAATCTTGAAGTGGTTTTAGATGCCTTTCTTAAACCGCTTTCTTTAGAATAAAATTTCAAATAACAGCATGCTTTATGCTAGCGAGCTCAGGGCGTGATTAGTAGCATTCATTAACTGGCTTCGACTACATTTTATACGTACTACCACTACACATAAATATCCATATCGATATCTGCTTTTCTCCTATCATTTTCTGCCCAAGAATGGTATGATTATGAAAATAAAAAATATGAAACATCCATATACATACGCATACGATATGCCTATTGCCTACCGAAGTAAATCGTCTACATGGCGATTGCCTGTGGAACAGTCTGTAGATGACTACTGTACCGTGAATATATGAAGAATAAAAACGTTCCACCATTTTACGTTGTACGAAAGGTACTACAAATACTAGCTATGTAATTTACAAATTTGTGCAGTCACGGTACGAATTATACTGTCCGGAAATATGTACTCGAGTAGATGGTAATGGTATGGTAAGCTTGATGTACATATTCATGCAAACAGTTTATCACAGAAAAAAGTTAGTTAGCCTTGCGGCGTGGTTTTCTTTTAGCTGATTCAAAGTTGTTAAAAAAGTAATGGTAGCTGCTGCTTGAATCGCAAAAACAATTTAATGGCCCACCGGCATATCTAGCACGTCTGCGGTATGAGTGCACGTAAGCCGCATTGTTTGGCATGAGCTGATAGTACGCGGCAGTATGACCCAGAAGATTGTTCTGAGTTTATAAAATTAAGTAACAATGATTCAGAGTTCCGAGTTTATCAACAATAAATAATTTTTATGCAGACGATCAACATGGATTCACGGTCGCCCGAGGCGAAGGATTTGAATAGAACTGCAGAGACTACACACGGGACTACGATTGGGGAAAAAAGGAAGAAAGTCACCGGGAAATTATTTGGCTGGTTAGTGGATATCGGTACTCAGCTAGGAAAGTGGTTAGGTGCGGCGCACAGTGATTTTATGGTCTTCATGGAAAATTTATTCCGAAAGCTTTTCCGGGGCCCGGTCATGTTCTCTTGGTGGCACGCAGACTAATCTTCTACGCATGCTTCGCGGGATTGGCGTATTTGACAGTCTTTCGGTTGAGGAGGCCGGAGTCTTATCACCTAGATGATTTAGTGCCCCTTTGTTTGGGGCTGCGGCTTCTTTACTTCGCGTACATTTCTGTCTGCATAACTCACATTGGTGACAATCGCTTTCTACAATCTTCTGCAGTTGCAGCGCCATCTGATCTGTATGAGACGATACAGAGTATCCGATCAGGTGTCAGCTGTTACAGTAAAAAAGCACCTTCTTACTCCTGTCCGTCAACTTAGTTAAGAATATACTGATTTTTTCACTAATGTTGCATAGTAGAGCCTCGTTGTATTCAATCAGATGAGTAAACACCGCTTTCAAATAAACCCCAGTTTTTGAATACAGCCATACTTCGTCATTTTTCGCATTTTGGACATTTTCACAGTATGTACCGGACACCAGAAACTCGGTAACCTCTGCGATGCTTCCCACTGGAAACCCATCTGAAACAACAATGATATTTTTTTATTAATCTCGTGTATAAGCTTGTCTAAGAACGATAATTATCGCGCAATAAATTTTAAAAATTTTTGTCAGGTGAAACAAAGCAGAGCATAGATACCGTGCTCCTGGTACGGTACGCAAATTTACAATGTGAAAATGCCCAGAATGTGAAAACGTCGTAGTTAAATATTTCGGCAATACAATAGAATTTGGGTAGCCTCGATCGTAACAGAATTAACGAGCAACGGTAGAGAGAGCAAGAGCAATTACCGCCTGGTCCCTGGTAGCGCTACGGTCGAACCTGCCAGATTGTGTGTTTTGAAATCTGCATTACGGTTGTAGGAGTGCTTTTAGGCCGGCCATGGCTGGGGTGGAAGGTAGACTGTTAACATATTAATGGATACGATTCCGAAAGCGGCGGTGATATAACAAAAACTACCTGGCGCGGTGTGGAGGAGTTCAAATGTGCGTATGTCCAGGATACTTCCGACCCGCCGTCATTTTCTACCGCCTACCCTATGAAAACGACCAAGCATATCATGCGTTTCTCGAAAGACTATCAGTTCGCCGATGACAGCACTGCCGACGCATTCAAACAAAGGGAAGCCAATTTCCGTTCGTCTAAAGCACCTCGCGACAGCAGCTGTGACATGGAGACGATTCTCACAATTCCCGGATTCCAAGATAAGCTGTATGTTTCTCCACAGCGTTGGCGGTTCTTATACCGCAACTGGGTCTATGTGCTGGCGGCGTGCGTCTTTTTGGATGTACCTTATCTGTGGTTTTTCGATTTGTCCGTTGGCGAAGTTATGGAGTATAAATACCGATACGTCAAAGTCTTCGGACAACCACTGGATGTGCCTCTCTCTGATTCTCAAATGGCGTTGTCGGAACAAAATTAGTTTTGCGGAAAACACCGCTTAAAAGATAAAGTTGGGTCACTTGAGTGTATAACCAAAAGTTCATCTGCTGCTAAATTAGTATGTTAAACTAGTGTACTAAGTAGATAGCTACCGTTGCAGTGTTACTCATCGAAAATTCAAATGCGCAAATGCTCTAGAAAGCGTCCTTTTTTTCCCGTCAAGTCGATAGACCAAAATTGCAATGGCAAAGACGGCGTTCCATGATCTCACGTAACAGGTGACACTACCTGTTTTCAGTCTTCAGGCTTCAGGCGTTACTAGTGTCACAAGCCGTACTTCGCACTCACCAAGTCTTACATACAGTTTGTACATTTAGTACATTTAGTCTGTACAAATATGCATTTACTGATATGAAAATATTTAAACAATCAGGGGTGAAAAGATGATAATGTGTCCAAAATCGTACATAAGCCATCCCTGTCTGCAAAGCGTACAGTCACTTGGCTGGCTAATGTTACATACGTTTATTTTATTTGACAGTTGTTTTATTTTATCATTTGCACGTACTTTATTTTATTACGTGGTGTTTGTGACAGGGTTAGGATTTCGTGTTTTCGTTTTGCACCGAGTCCTGCTTGACTGGGCCCGCCTCTGACGTGATCCTCGCATATTCTGTCTTCCGAAACATTTCATAAAACACCGAACTTGTTCCGTACGTCATATGCTCGTTGCCGGAACTGAACGTGAAACAATGACAAAAAATCAGCTTGCCTTGCGGCAAGTTCCGTTTAGCTGATGAAAGTTTTACTGGAACTCAGAATAAATCAGGCTTCCACAAACGAGACGCTGCTGCCATTGTAGAAAAATATGATGATATCATCGAATTGCTGATGAAATCAAATCGCACAATGTCATATCGTCATGCATATTGTGCGTCTAGTGCGCTTGGTTCGTCTAGCTTCAACATAAAGAAGCTTTACTCATAAAAACTTATTATTCGTACAAGTGAGCAACGCATTACGTATTATGTGGAGAGCGGAAGCGGGTATGGTCTCCTACTTGCGCCACCCCGTACAACAGTCGGAGTATGTATTATTTTTGCAACAGTATTTGCGTTGAAACATATTCATAAATCGGTAGTTCAAGAGTTTAGCCGATGGGCAGCTATCTTCATTTGGAAGGTCAGACGATTGATATGGGTTCGCCGTCGTCCATGAAAGAAGTACATAAATAGTACTGTAGAGACTGGAAACAGAATCATTGTTATGGGGGACCGAAAGGATGTCGACGGGAAATTACTTTACCGGTTAGCAGCTTCCGTTCACCAACCAGGGAATTGGTTTGACCAGGTGCGCGGTGACCATACTTTCTTGCTGGGGGATTTATTTCGAAGGCTTCGTCGGGGTCCTGTGTTGTTCTGTTGGGGAAATTTTGTCCTCCGACTTTTTCTATACACTTGCATGGCGGCAGGTGCATACTTAACAATTTATCTGTTAAGTAAGCCGGACTACGTAGACCGGCTTGAGCTGTACAACGTGGGAATCGGATTCTCATGTGTTTTCCTCTTATGCATTCCCTACTTAGTGTACATTAGCTACTACGTGAGCTGGCCCGACTTACGTACCTCCCTACAGACTTCTGAAATTGTATCGGCTTCCGAACTGTACGAGAGGATCCAGACGGTCCGATCAGGTACGCCTGCTGTTGTACGGTTTCCGCAGTAATTCGCTATAAGTTGAGCTTTCTCTAAATTTTCATTCTAAACTACTTTATTTTCAAACGCGTCCAAATAATAATCGGTTGAACCACATACTTTTACAACAGCATTGACAAAAGCACACTTTTAAAGTTATCTTGAAAATTGAAATTACAAAAAAACTTTTAAATGAGTATTTGTCGGAGTATGACTGGAAGAGTTCATGATTTATTTGAATGTATCAACTTCTCTATTGAAATTCCTGTTGGTTTAGCAAGTGGCAGAGAAAATTTGCCGAAATGTTTAATAAAAAATACAGTATATTAGGGCATCCTTACTTGGTAATTTCCACAAATTGAAACTTACAAATCGGAACGTTCAATAACTTAAAACCATAGGTCTCAACAGAAAATAATTATGTTCTTCAAGCGCTCTTGCACTTAAATGACATTACTGGTTGTTCCGTTTATAGCCGTACTCGTAGTGATTAGTGCGTACTTGCTATTATACCTTGTTCTCCTAGAATTATTTCTACTGATTCGGGTTTGAGTTTTTTTTTCTGCACGAATGTGCTTTGCTCCGGCAAAATCCGTGTGTGGCAATATGTTGGGCATCAATGGATCAGTTCTTTCATTCTGAGTTATTCATCAATGGATCAGTTCTTTCATTCTGAGTCTCTGGAGTTATTAATAATATTATCGTCGAAGATGCAGTTTCCCGCTTCGCGTAGATTCGTAGACTTAGCTCATACTCCGTTGTTGAGTAATTGGTAGGATAGATTATTACGGTAATTATTCCTATCGTACTGATCTCTCCTTCATACGTTTCATTTTATGCGTTTCGTTCTATTTAAAAAAGAGGATTCTATGCCAAATCTTCGGTGTCGGAAACAGAGATATTTCCAATAGGACAACACTAATGTGTGCATAGTACAGACTGTTCTGTTATTTTCAGGCCGGCCATGGCTGGGATGGACAATTGACTGCCACCATATGATTACGGAAGACCTTGGCGAAGGCGGGACTCGCGAAGTCCCAGAAACCACCTGGAGCGGTAAGGAAGAATTCAGATGCGCGGACGTACAGGATGCTTCTGACCCGCCAGCATTTCCGTTTCCCGACACACCGAACACGACCGTTCAAATAATTCATTTCTGGAAAATATTTCGTTTCGCCGATGACAGCACTGCCGCAGCATTCAACCACATGGAAACCAATGTCCGCGAAGCTAATCATTTTCGCGATAACAATGTTCCGTACAAACATTGTTCGACATCCCCGGGTTCCAAGGGACTCTGGTAGTATTCCCGCAGCGTAGGCCGTTGTTGTACCGCAAATGGTTGTATGTGGTGGCGCTGTGTTTGCTGCTGGATGTACCCTATCTGTGTTTCCTTAATCTGTCCGTGGCAGAGATTAAGGAGCACCGCTACGTGTACGTCAAAGAATTTGCGAAACCGCTGGATTTGATTACCTCTGAAAATTTAGTGCAAATGTCTGAACATATTAATACTGCATAAACGCGCTTTAAAAGCTGTACTAAGGCTTGCAATATTATGATCCCCTCAACGAAAGAATAAAAGTGTACCTGTCTTCACTAATTAGTGAGGGAGTAAGCCAACTACCGTGCCGTATAGTATGTTGGCGGCTTCTTCCGACGCTACCGGGGACACTTAATATTCAGTTACTATTCACTATCGAGCGAACTTGCTCCGCAGGTCATGTGGTGATGTGTCGTGTCGTGCAGCATTACAAGTACACAAACTCGGGCATTGTTGGCCGAGTAAGGATGGAAAGAACACGGACAGCAAAAAGAAGGTGTGTAAGGACCGTTCGTTGGACTTTACAGCGGTTGTCGTGGTTTTTTCGAGAAATGGAGTTTAGGTAACGCCTTGAAAAATTGATTCAAATCCGTTATGGAAATTTACCTTTGTAACAGTTTTGCTTGATTTCTGTTTATTAACAGTCAAAGTTTCACTGGACTGAGGTAATAAGTGGTCTTCCCATTGCATTTTAAGATTAAAGCAACAACACTATTGTTGCAATATCAACCCGAATCATCTGAAAATGTACAATTTAGGTATTCAGTAAAATAGATTTGGATGTTATAACTTTTCATTTATTGTAAAGGTGGCTCTGAACTGGAGTACTTCGGCATCATAAACCAGCGACATACAACTGGACACACTAACCACCTATACGGCGAGTTAAAAAAGGCTTTTCTATCATATCTGTATACTATTATTATCTTAGTCACACCGCTTGCGCGTACGCATATACAATAAAAAAGGAAATCCTGACTGTACTGTAACTTAAAATTGATTTATCACCACTATTTCCACAAATCATTTACTAGTCTAATGGATTTCAATTTCAGGAGCTATAAATTATAAGTAAGGCGGCTCTAAATCAGAATTTTTTATCGCCACCAGGCTGCCGGAATACAGCTTGAAATACTAATCACCTTACAGCGTAAGGTGATTAGTGTTTCCAGCTGTATTCCTGGGTTTTGACGAGTTCAGGACTTTTAACATCGACCGGAGCGCAGCTCTAGCTGCAATAATTGTTGTTTCGCGATATGAAACCACTGCCCACGGAAGGTTTTTTTACAGTTCGTCACCTGTTAAAATGGCGCTGTTCGATCTAAACCCAAAAAACTGTTGCGGTAGCATTGCAATTTGCCTGTTGAATGATTCGCTTTTAGCAATTCCACTGGGCTGAATAACTGACGACCAGAGCCCGGTTAACGGCTCCCGGCAAAAATTTATTTTTTGCTGGAAGACAAAGTAATCCTTGGGTACACCTAAAAAATATTTCCATCGGCCATGGTTGAGTGGGCGTGGCCAAACTTAAGTTCCAGTGGTAAATTGGTAATACATGCAGTACATGCACTGTACTAAAGGATTTATGTAATACCGTAACAATGTACCGTACAAGGTAGCCTCGCGCATCCGCGCTCGGCACTTAAGTACTGGATAGTATTGGCTTTGTTTTGGAAAGGTCATTATAAATATGTAAAGGCTGACGTTCGGAATTTCTGAAGTTCTGACAATTTTAATTTTTCACGTTATGAAGATTCTGATTTTCTGATGTTCTAACGTCATGAGGTTCTGACGTTCTTATGTTCTAACGTTCGCCTTTTCTAACGTTCTGACGTTCTAACGTTCTGACGTTCTAACGTTCTGACGTTCTAACGTTCTGACGTTCTAACGTTCTGACGTTCTGACGCTCTAACGCTCTGACGCTCTAACGCTCTGACGCTCTAACGCTCTGACGCTCTAACGCTCTGACGTTCTAACGCTCTGACGTTCTAACGCTCTGACGTTCTAACGCTCTGACGTTCTAACGCTCTGACGTTCTAACGCTCTGACGTTCTAACGCTCTGACGTTCTAACGCTCTGACGTTCTAACGCTCTGACGTTCTAACGCTCTGACGTTCTAACGCTCTGACGTTCTAACGCTCTGACGTTCTAACGCTCTGACGTTCTAACGCTCTGACGTTCTAACGCTCTGACGTTCTGACGTTCTAACGTTCTGACGTTCTGACCTGGTGAAACCATCTTCTTAAGACCTGGTGAAACCATCTTCTGACCACGGGTTAATAAAAAAAAACAAAAATCTATTGGCAAACCTATGGAAAATATGGAATTTTTTAAGACCAAGTTGGATTAAAACTGACCACGCGTTGACGAGTCTATAAAAACGGCGCATAAATACGTTTTGGTCGGTAAGATTGTATGAATATAAAGACAATGTCTGAGGTTTTCACAAGTACTTGTAATCGGTAGTCAGATAATTTTCATAATTCTAAAAATTACTACTGCTAAATAAACCACCGAGAAAAATTACATATAGTATTAAAGTAGTATGTATTAGGAAATCGGAATACAATACGTCCCGCGGTACTCGGTAGAGTATCCTGCACATGTTTGCACAAATACAATACGCGTTCTTAATGCACTAGTTTCAGAATTTTTTAATTTTTCGCGATTATTAACAGAACTAATTTTTAGAACGATTAGAAAGGATCCGACTACTGTCGGATCCTTTCTAAGTATGTTAGAGATTAGCATAAGTGATTAGAAAAGATCCGACTACTGTCGGATCCTTTCTAATCACTTATGCCAATCTCTAACATACTGCGCTAAATTGATACGGTAGTCCCAATACATATGCTGCATGCATTCGTGATTCTCGCCGGGATTGCGGACTGGCATTGTATCATTTTGACGTCACTAACACACCGGGATTTTACGGCGCGCCAACAGGAGAACTACGCATTCGCTCTGTTTCTGTTCGTACGCTGTCATATGGGCGGTGGTGTATACCGTACAGAGCACTGCCCTTAATTTTAGAAAACTGTAAATATTTTTATCACACATTTATCGCCCTCGTTTATGGAGGATAATTTTCTGTGAATTTTTATGTATCTTACCCAATTAACAAACAGCATAGTTTGCAAACGTGAGCTGTTTAAAAAGTGCCGGAATGAGCACCTGTTGTATGGGCCTACGATCACTTCCCGGCGTAGCTTAGGCGTACGGCTCCCAACCGCCACAGGGCGCCATCCAGGCGAGAATCGTCAATTAATGCCAAAGGAATTTAGTTTAGCCACGCCCACTTAACCATGGCCGATGAAAATATTTTTTTAAGTATACCCAAGGGTTACTCTGTCTTCCTGCAGAAAATCAAATTTTTCGGAGCCGGGAGCCGGTGACCGGGCCCTGGTGAGTAGTTTGTGTACTTACTTATGGTTGGACGTTGTACCGTGCGTGTACACACAACTCAAGCTAACTTACAGTGTATATCTAAGTCACAATATCGACGATTATACGTGAAAGGATACCATTATATACAAATGCATTAGCATTATCTGCATTATCTACAATATCAATTACATACTTCCATTATCGCATGGGTAGGTTCTCCTCACGATAAACCACGTTTCAGAACATTAAACTGGTTAAAAGAGCGAAGAGATGCCACCGACTTTCTGAGTATTTATATACAGTAAATATAGATACATACTGCTACATTCCGGCTGTGTTCGTCCGTGCCTTGTGCAGTGTATCAAATTTTATTTATTGACTGCGCCGGCGTTATACGGTGCATTCAAGCCTTTTGTAGGCTCGCATTACAACAGCAGCCGTCTGGCGACTTTTGGTGGTCGTTCTAGCCACCTATGGTCAGTCTGTTTCAAGTGGGACTAATCAGTTTGTGGATTATGCCGACTTGAAAGGGGTTGACTGGAGGCGGCAATGTTATTCTTCAAGCTCATTACGGCATTGTTGTAAGGAAATAATGTCCTGCTCAAAAGCAGTTCTTATCATGGACGGGTTGGGGGTTGGTCTCGGGTTGGTAATCACGGGTCAGGCGGAAACAGAAACTCCAGATTTTAAGCATCGAAATGCAGACGGACCTGGGTGTACTCACGCCACGCATCCAAGTTCCTGGACAGAATTGGCTAAAGTATTTGATTTTGCGCATACCGTTCAAGGCGACATTTATTTCGCATATGGCCAACATTTATGCGCACAGTTATTCTTCAGCGTGGAGAATACGCGGAAACGAAAGTAGTTCCACAAGCACCATGCTACTTCCTTCATATCTTTAGCAAATTGTTTCTATTGATAAGATAACCGTACAATGGCCGAGTTTCGCTTATTTTCAAGCCATGGTTCATAAATATAAACTTATAATCAGTATGCCCCTAAATTCTAAATTCTCGTAACAACAAGCGGCAATAAACGGCACGGTTATCTTTTGCTGAGGCATTATCGCATTTTCTGTAGAAGTATACCTAGTTTAATGACCCCAGCGCAATCTTCTCTTTTCCTTCGATTACAAATTACTTTTTTTTTCCGCCTGACGTAATAAACGGTAATTAATGTGCTGATCATTGAATGATAGTGCGAGCCGAACAGCAGTGTTTCAATGTATGTATATTATGAACTGATGTGCGACCCTCGAGCAACACTGTATGTGTTGCAACGAGAGCCGCCTGAAAATCATTTCTCCGTGAGCGTTATAATAATGATCGTTCAGATTCTTGCATTGCATGAAAACAGTACAAAACTATACTAGCCGGTTTACGTTTAACTACTGTAAGTAGCCGCAGTACTGTAGTGGCATGCAGGGGTTGAAACCGAGAGCGCTGTAAATATCGATCCGTTTGCTGTAATGAGTCAGATCGCGAGCCGATTCTAACGTCAGACTTTAGCTTATTCGCTCGTCTGTGTACCCTGTACATATACGCGTTATCTTGATCTTTGTCAATTCATTATTTCTGAAATTTGGCATTATGGCATCGCTATTAATTTCTTCGGATCGTTTACATTTTGGCTTAATGGCTTATAAATACATATATAAAAAATGCCCGTGTACCGATAATTTACTGTTTTCGCCTTTCTCGACCGAGATTGCATTACTAATGGCTTATACTGGCTCGAAAGCGGCCACGAAGAACGAGATAACAAATTTGCTGGGTTTCGGTTCTAATTATACTTTCGACGATTTGGCATCTTGTTTGAATCAAATCAAGGTTCAGGAAACCGAAGACGGGGACGATTACTGCAAAGGTGTGTTTTTTCATACTGTGATACGGATATGAAGATTCCAGTACGAGCTTCTGTTGCAGCAGTCATGGAGTGCAGGTGCTGTCGCCTCTTTGTCTTTTCCGTTTCGTTCATATAATCATATTTCTCATGCTCTTACTATTCCTAATTTCTGCATTAAAACTGCAAAGCAATTTATCTGTAATCTGGGCTCAACGACATTTCGTCGACTAACACGCCGTCGACCGACACAATTTCGACCCACAACGTCGACCGTCACGAGGGCGACGGCTGAAAACCCTACAAAACCTAATAAAATGTAGGAAAACTAAAAAAACTTAAGAATCTAAAAAACCTAAGAACTAAGAAACCTGAGAAACCATATAAGAAAATCAGAAAACTGAGAAGGTTTATCTAGAAGGTTCGGCGTCGTGACGGGTCGGCGAATTTTTGTCGACGAAATGGCGGGTCACCGTACTCCGTACTTTTCTGCCAACCTTACTTTAGTGTTGAAGATTGACGTGTAGTTGTAAGAGACGGCGTCCAGCATTACTGCTCTAAATGAACCTAAGTAGTACTGCAGATGAGGGAATTTTGAACTGTACAGTTACAGACCACTGTCCTTAGATTCCGACGATGAAGATGACAAATTCCCCGAAAACTACAAATTCCACATGGCCAACGGCTGCTTTATCGAGGATAGTTTTACCGTGAACGCGTGTTACAGAAGAGACTTGGAGACGATGTTCAGTGCAGTTTGCGTTTCCGTTCCTATCTGCAATGACCCTGACGAAGCTGTCCGACAGGTTAACGCGTTCGTTGCAAGCCGCACATTGGGAAAAGTGCCGACAGCCGTCGAACTCGACGACTTGTCATCCCTCACCCGCTTGATATTGGTCAACGCACTTTACTTTAGGAGCAGCTGGCGCCAACCGTTCAACGAAAAACACACTGCAAAGAGACCCTTCACCACGGCAACGGGGTTAGTAATTATGGCGGAGACCATGCGCGTCCTTCTGAAATGCAATTATGGCGAAAGCGAAGCACTCCACGGAGCGCAGTTTCTGGAACTACCGTATTTTAACGGTTTCTGCAGTGCGTTCTTTATATTACCCGGCAAGAAAAAGAAGCTCTTCGGCAAACCATCTTATCGCACTTTAGACGAATTACAAAATCTGCTGACACCGGGGAAACTGCTCCATGCCATCACAGGAATGTGTAGTGTTCGTGCCGTTACCATTCAGCTGCCGAAATTTCGTATCGAAGAGAATTTGGATATGCGCACCATGTTGGAGGAGATGGGTATGCCCAGTGCATTTGGAAAGGATGCCAACTTCTTAGGAATATCCGGAATGCCGCTGCATATAAACAAGATGAAGCAAACCGCGGTCATTGGTACGTGGGATCTTAATAACAGAAAGACTTCCCTACTATTGTACTTATTGTAAATACTGGTCTGACACTGTGTTCTGGCACTGGGTAACAGCTATCAACTTTGATTACAGTAACTTTCGCACAATTTCGATTTAAGACAATTTTTCTGTTCGTCGCGCCGGTAAAATTAGCTGGCTTGGCACAAACCTGTTTCAACACGGCATATTTAAGGTTAAAACTAATCTCCATATTTTATTTTCCAGCCCTACAGCACTATAGAAAAATTCAATTTTCCAAACGAAAATTTGTAATCAAAAAAACAAGATTTTTAAAAAATTTCGAAAACTAAAACCAAATCTCACTGACACACGTGGCGGGTTTAACTGCTTTACCCGTCGGCGGTCATGAAAAAGCGTTTATTAGAAGCGTTTAGGTTTTACTAGGACACCGGCACATTCTTCTCACTCAGAAAACCTTCATTTTTGCAGAATAACGGAGTAACCTTAGGGTATACTGAAAAGCCAGTTTCATCTCCCATGGTTAATAGGGCGTGGTCGCATAAAATTTAAAAGTGAATTGACCGATTTCTGAAATTCAGTTGATTTTAACCCGATTCTACAGGGTAGAAAAAGCTACTGGCAATGGAAAAGTGATTAACTTACGATTAGCAATGCCACCACTTAAAAAGTAATTGTTTCAGACTTTTTCTTAATAATGAGTTTTGAGAACACATTATTTTGTTCATTGAGTATAAAACCTTTCCCACTTTTGATGCGGTCAGTTTACTGCACATAAACGATTTCTGTAGCAGTATACTGGCGTGATGGAGCCACTCTCTTAAATGAGGAGCCTGAAGTAGAGCGAAATTCGTAAACTCTATCTCACCTTATTTCCAACCTAACTAGGTATAAGACATGACTGAAGGAATAAGAAACTGATTGGCGGAATCTCTCTGTTGGCTGCAGCACCGTTTACTTTTCGCTTTAAATTATGTTTGGCCACACCTTCTGGACCACGGCAGATGAAAATAGCCGTTTTACTGTTCTCTAGGATTACTTTGTCATCCTGAAATAAAAACTAAACTTTTCTGATAGAGAAATCGGTGACGGTGCCCTGGTTCGATCTTTGTAGAACTTTAGTATAATTACATGGGAAACTGGTTTCCCCAGGGTTAGAAATAAAGAACGATTTGATGAAAATTATTCAAACGCATTTCCAGATACGCCTGTTAAAGCAACCTTATGCGCCTTGAGAAGCAGAAATTGTGCGAATGTTAATGTTTTTCCCCGGCCAGGGTTGACCGGGATTACTGTCCATGTATTCGGTACAATCTGGTTACAGATGTTAACGAGGAAGGAACCGAAGCCGGGGCAGCGAGTGTGGCAGTAATGGACCTCATGGGTCGTGATGACAGCTTTCGGGAAGCAAGATTCATTGCAGACCGGCCATTTATCTTCATCATTCGCCACAACAGCACCAACACAATTCTATTTATGGGACACATCAATCACCCATCCGCTTTCTCCTAATCCATTTTTTGCAGTGAAAACCGATGCATACACCTGTATAACCTCATTAGACGTGATCGCTCAAGTCATTTGTATATTCTTCTATACAGATTAATTTGCTGCGAGGGCAGTGTGTTCCTGCAAGTACAATTTTTGTTTATTATTTGCTTTTGCATCGAGCTCAATGTCTCCGACATCCGTAAACGAACCGAAATAAGCTTAATTGCTCGCAAAACATTGTAGGGAAAAAAGTCTATGCTTGCGAAGAATTTAGTTTTACGGGCTTTTCGAAAGGACTAGTTCAAGTTAAACCCTAAATTTGGCATTCACCATTGGGAGTGGAAAATACCACTACGATTATACATAATACGGTTACACGAACAGGAAGCTTTCGCCTGTTCAGTAGGCCATGTACGGTAAACCGTAAGCAAGCGATGCATCCGTTACAGGACTTACAGGTACAGACTTACTGTACATGCTGAAACTTTGTACAAACAAAATTCTTGGCCGATTGACTCAACACTTTACGAAGAATCCGTATACCAAACGAGAAATAATTCAAGCGATACGACTGCCAGCAGCTTAGCAGCAGCAGACTTTATTGCTTGTAAATTTTGTTTTGATTAGCGCAAACAGCATCGTAAAAGTCTGCGGCAATTTCTGCGTGGTCATCATTTAAACACACAACCACACAACCGCAGTTCGTTTTAATATACAAACTTTAAGAACTTTTTTTCCTTAAGTTTGTGTTTGTCCGAATTTTGTCAACATCTCCAAAGAAATGCAGACCACACTAATCATCGCGATAATGTGTTTGGATTTGTTTGCCATCAACGTACGTGCACGAAAAATCACTGATCGACATTAATTGAACCCGACATAGTTTGTACCCGTATCATGATACTACTTATTAAAGGTTACAATACGTTTCCCTATTTCGGTCACCTGGTGTTGCGGCGGTCGGGTTTTCTTCTCCCAGCAGAGTGGCTAGGCGAAAGCGAAACGGACCGCCGCATTCATCGCGGACAGACGCGAACACCGGCCGCGAGCACCGCGAGCTCGTTTGTGATTTTCCGGGATACGTTAAACTAATTAGTTGCACAGTAATTACTGTGCGCATAAGCAGAATGAAAAGGTGCTCAATCGTGCACGTCTAATAGGAGTAAAATTCCATGTCGATTGCAAAAAGACTGCGCACAGTAATATTACGATTGAATTATTAAATTACTCGGTACAGCAGTCAATATGAATTAACGCAAAACATCAGAAAAACATAAGAGAACATAAGAAAAACTAAAATCCAACAAAATTATCCTAAACCAGTGCACTGTTTTGTTACACACTCCTTTCAGGCCTTACATGTCAAGGCCTTTTAGGCCTTGAATTACACTCACCATCCGATGGAGAACAAGTAATAACACATCCAGATTGTAACACACAAGTACCGCTCAGTAGTTAAGAGAAATTCATTAAAATTGCGGGTTCTCTTAGCAATTTTTCATTGGGCGTGACAAAACTCTTCCTGTTTTGCCGAATCTGCCGATCAATAAAGTATAGCGACGAAATACCTACTGTACCTAGCAAAGCAGCTTTTCAAAATCGATGATCGGTTTGTTACTATGTATTCAGTACCGTGCATTACACGAAGACATTCCCACAGCCATGATGTGGCACTCGTTACCTTCTCGTGTTTCTGCTCGTACGCTGTCATATGGGCGGTGGTGTAATACCGTGGCCAGAGCACTGCCGCTTAATTTTAGAAAACTGTAAATATTTTTATCACACATTTGTCGCCTCGTTTATAGAGGATGATTTTCTGTAAATTTTTCTGTATCTACCCAATTAACAAACAGCATAGTTTGCAAACGTGAGCTGTTTAAAAAGTGCCGGAATGAGCACCTGTTGTATGGGCCTACGATCACTTCCCGGCGTAGCTTAAGCGTACGGCTCCCAACCGCCACAGGGCGCCATCCGGGCGAGAATCGTCAATTAAGGCCAAAGGAATTTAGTTTAGCCACGCCCACTTAACCATGGCCGATGAAAATATTTTTTTAAGTATACCCAAGGGTTACTCTGTCTTCCTGCAGAAAATCAAACTTTTCGGAGCCGGGAGCCGGTGACCGGGCCCTGGCGAGTAGTTTGTGTACTTACTTATGGCTGGATGTTGTACCGTGCGTGTTCTGTACACACAACTCAAGCTAACTTACAAGTTACAGTATATACCTAAGTCACAATATCGACGATTATATGTGAAATGATACCATTATATACAAATGCATTAGCACTATCTGCATTATCTACAATATCAATTACTTCCATTATCGCAGGGTTAGGTTCTCCTCACGATAAACCACGTTTCAGAACATTAAACTGATTAAAAGATTGAAGAGATGCCACCGACTTCCTGAGTATTTATATAAATACATACTGCTACATTCCGGCTGTGTTCGTTCGTGCCTTGTGCAGTGTATTAAATTTTGATTATTGACTGCGCCGGCGCTAGACGGTGCATTCAAGCCTTATTTAGGCTCGCATTACAACAGCAGTCGTCTGGCGACTTTTGGTGGTCGTTCTAGCCACCTATGGTCAGTCCGTTTCAAGTGGGACTAATCAGTTTGTGGATTATACCGACTTGAAAGGGGTTGACTGAAGGCGGCAATGTTATTCTTCCAGCTCATTACGGCATTGTTGTACGGAAATAATATCCTGCTCAAAAGCAGTTCTTATCATGGACGGGTTGGGGGTTGATCTCGGGTTGGTAATCACGGGTCAGGCGGAAGCAGGAACTCCAGATTTTAAGCATCGAAATGCAGACGGACGCCGGGTGTACTCACGCCACGCATCCAAGTTCCTGGGCAGAATTGGCTAAAGTATTTGATTTTGCGCATACCGTACAAGGCGACATTTATTTCGCATACTGTCAAAGTCCTGTCAACATTTATACGCACAGTTATTCTACTGCTTATTTCAGCGTGGAGAATACGCAGAAACGAAAGTAGCTCCACAAGCACCATTCTACTTTCTTCATATCTTTAGCAAATTGTTGCTAATGATAAGATAACCGTACAATGGCCGAGTTTCGCTTGTTTTCAAGCCATGGTTCATAAATATAAATTTATAATCAGTATGCCCCTAAATTCTAATAACAACAAGCGGCCATAAACGGCACGGTTATCTTTTGCTGAGGCATTATCGCATTTTCTGTAGAAGTACTGTAAGTTCTGTAGAAGAAGTATACCTACAGACTGTAGTTTAAGGACCCCAGCGCAATCTTCTCATTGCCTTTGATTACAAATTATTTTTTTCTCCGCCTGACGTAATAAACGGTAATTAATGTGCTGATCATTGAATGATAGTGCGAGCCGAACAGCAGTGTTTCAATGTATATTTTGAGTTAATAAAATTGACCTGGCCGCGATTAAGCGGACCCGGAGCAATACTGTATGTGTTGCAACGAGAGCCGCCTGAAAATCATTTCTCCTTGAGCGTTATAATAATGATCGTTCAGATTCTTCCATTGCATGAAATAGTACAAAATTATACTAGCCGGTTTACGTTTAACTAAGTAGTCGCAGTACTGTAGTGGCATGCCGGGGGTAGAAATCGAGAGCGCTGTAAATATCGATCCGTTTGCTGTAATGAGTCAGATTGCGAGCCGCCTCTAACGCTCAGACTTAGCTTATTCGCTCGTCTGTGTACCCTGTACATATACGCGTTATCCTGATCTTTGTCAATTCATCATTTCTGAAATTTGGCATTATGGCATCGCCACTGATTTCTTCGGATCGTTTGCATTTTGGCTTAATGGCTTATAAATACATATATAAAAAATGCCCGTGTACCGATAATTTACTGTTTTCGCCTTTCTCGACCGAGATTGCTTTACTAATGGCGTATATTGGCTCGAGAGCGGACACGAAGAAAGAGATAACAAATTTGCTGGGTTTCAACTCAAATTATACTTTCGACGATTTGGCATCTTGTTTAAAGCAAATCAAGGCTCAGGAAACCGAAGATGGTGACGACTATTGCAAAGGCATGTTTTTTTTCGTACAGTAGTACTAATTTCATTACAAAGATTCCAGGACGAACTTCTTTTCCAGCAGTCATGCAATGCAGGTGCTGTCGCTTCTTTCTCTTTTCCTTCTCAATGATAATAATGATTATATTTTTCATATACTTAGCAGTTACTATTTCTAATTTCTGAAATTTAAAAGAAAACTGCAAAGCAAGCTATCTAATTGTAGTACGCTGTAGTACGTAGTGTGCTTTTAAAAGGGATTTTTTAAAGGTTAAATCGAGGAAAATTCTCGTATTGTATATACGCCACATACTATCTGTACTTGCAAATGAGACGCGGATAAGTGGATGACAAAAAGTATGATTCAACTATTTAACTTCCTCACCGGAAAGGTAAACAATGTGCCAGCTTCGAAAGGCCACGGATCCCACGATATAATTCCCAATGCCGTGTCATACAGATTTCGCACACGATTCGTCTGCGCGCGTGTAGCCGGCAGGAAGGTTGACGGGTTGATGGTTGACGTTCAATGAAGGTCGTCAACCTTTCTCTAAAGGTCATCAACCTTTCTGCCAGACCTCGTCAACCTTTCTCTAAAGGTCGTCAACCTTTCTGACAGAGCTCATCAACTTTTCTGCCAGAGCTCATCAACCTTTCTCTAAAGGTCATCAACCTTTCCACCAGAAGTAATCCACATTTCTGCCGAGAATTATCAACATTTTTGGAAAGGTTGTTTACTTTTAGCCAGAGGTCATCTGCTTACTGGAGAGGACACCCAATTTTCTGCCAGAGGTTATCCACGAATCTGCCGACGGCATCTCTTACTCCGAGAACTGACGTACCATGCACCCACCCTGACAATGCACCCATTGTAGTTCATTTTGCTTATCGCTCCTCTCGCTCGTTGAAAAGCAAATTAATGGTTTTCATAAACACTTGGCCTGGATGTTGACTAAGCCAGCGAAGTGATTCACTGAACCCGCCTCGAACTGACGATAACAGTGATGTCTGCGGAACAAATGACGGCATTCTTTGATCGAAGTACTGCACCATTGATCACTGATATTTAGTTTGGTTCTTGCATCAGAAAAACCATTCTGCTTGTTTAATCAAACATACAAGCAGCAGGCTTAATGTGTAAGCAAATATTTATCATTCATACAGCCGAGAGTACACGAGACAGTCATATTCAGTGGTGTTACTCACAATGAAACAATAAAAGGAGTACAATGGCCTCATACCCATCAATGGATGCCGCCAGTAGATTAGTGGATGACCTTTAAAAAAAGGTTGATGACCTTTCAAAAAGCTTGATGCCCTTTACGGAAAGGTTGCTGACCTTGGCGGAATGGTTGATTGCCTTTGCAGAAAAGTAGATTACCTTCATTGAACGTCCTTAACCCGCACTAAGGATAGGTGACTTACAATAAAATCGCATCCACCAATCTGCCGGAGCGCGTCTGTCTGTTTGCCGTATTATTGCCGGCTTTAACTGATCGAACAATGACGCCATTGTGTGCATTCAGGCCCTTTGTGAGATCAATGCATGCCGTCACTGCTCTAGCAGAGAGGTGGACGTAGATATGTCTATTGTTCTACTTGTACAGTTTCTGTACCATATTAGTCGTTTTTCTATATCCAAATTGAATTGTGCACATTTCGGGAATTTAAACTGAAAGTTAACCATTGCGTTGTGCGAGAAAACAAAATATTTACTAAAAACTAATTAGTCAGCTGAGTAGGTGCCTGGCAAGCCTAAATAATTTGTTTCTAGTAAATAATTTGCTCCTCGTACATCTCAAGTACCTAGTAAACGTTCCGTTTAAATATCCGAAATAAATAATTCATTCGGGATATGAGAAAACGACTACCCTAGGTATTATAATTATAAGCTGTACAGGCAGAGCGATAGATTGACATGTCTGCGTCTACTTTTCTGCCGAAGAAGTGGCGGCAAGCACTCATCTCACAATGGGCCAGAATGCAAACAATGGCATCATTGTTGGATCAGTTGAAACCAACAATGATTTGGCAGAAAAGGTGAACGCGCTTGGGCTGATTCTGTGGATGAGTCGTCCAACATTCTGCCTGGCTTCAGCAGGGAGGTGGATGCGATTTCATTGTCTGCCCACCATTCTTCAATCTACCTTCCTCGGTTTACAAAGTCATCCATCAACCCGTCCACCTTCCTGCCGGATACTGGTGCGTAATCAGCTAAGACGCCAGGATGATACTTGGTAGCCTTACCCTTATATCCATTTTGCATATTAAGCAAACGAAACAACAGTTTGTCGAAATGAAATACCGAAATAATAATTTTTTTATAACGCAGTAACAATAAACGTTTAGCCAAAACGTGCTGCGTTTTTAGCAAAACATGTGCACGACTTCTGTTAAAAGACGAAGCCTTCAGCAGAAAGGTTGACGACCTTTAGAGAAAGATTGATGCCCTTCAGCAGAAAGGTTAACAACCTTTAGAGAAACGATGATGAGCTCGGGCAAAAAGGATGATGACCTTTAGAGAAAGGTTGACGAGGTCTGGCAGAAAGGTTGATGACCTTTAGGGAAAGGTTGACGAGGTCTGGCAGAAAGGTTGATGACCTTCATTGAACGTCAACCATCAACCCGTCAACCTTCCTGCCGGCTACACGCGCGCGTGAAGAAACCAAGAAGGTGATAGTACTAAGCAGAACTATTGAGTCGTTCATAAATATTACATGGACTGTGAATCTTTGATTTTAGAATTTCTCTGCCAACCTTACTTTAGTTTTAAAGATTGACTTGTCGTTGGAGCAGATGCGGTGCCCAGCATTACTGCTCTAAATGAACCTAACTAGTACTGCAGCTGAGGGAATTTTGAACTGTACAGTTACGGACCACTGTCCCTAGATTCCGACGATGAAGACGACAAATCTCCCGAAAACTACAAATTCCACATGGCTAACGGCTGCTTTATCGAGGATAGCTTCACCGTGAACCCGCAGTATAGAATAGATTTGAAGACACTGTTCAGTGCAGTGTGTGAATCCGTTCCTATCTGCAATGACCCCGACGAAGCTGTTCGACAGGTTAACGCGTTCGTTGCAAGCCGCACATTGGAAAAAGTGCCAACAGCCGTCGAACTCGACGACTTGTCATCCCTCACCCGCTTGATATTGGTCAACGCACTTTACTTTAGGAGCAGCTGGCGCCAACCGTTCAACGAAAAACACACTGCAAAGAGACCCTTCACCACGGCAACGGGGTTAGTAATTATGGCGGAGACCATGCGCGTCCTTCTGAAATGCAATTATGGCGAAAGCGAAGCACTGCCACGGAGCGCAGTTTCTGGAACTACCGTATTTTAACGGTTTCTGCAGTGCGTTCTTTATATTATCCGGCAAAAAAAGAAGCTCTTCGGCAAACCATCGAATCGCACTTTAGACGAATTACAAAATCTGCTGACACCGGAAACTGCTCGATGCCATCACAAGGAATGTATAGTGTGCGGGCCGTTACCATTCAGCTGCCAAAATTTCGCATCGAAGAGAATCTGGATATGCGCACCATGCTGGAGGAGTTGGGAATGCCCAATGCATTTGGAAAGGATGCCAACTTTTTAGGAATATCCGGAATGCCGTTGCATATAAGCAAGATGAAGCAAACGGCCGTCATTGGTACGTGGGATCTTAAGAACAGAATGACATTTCTATTACTGTTCTTTTTAAAAATTCTGGTCTGGCACTGTGTAACAACTAACAACTTTGATTACAGTAACACTCACACAAGTTCGATTTACGTTGCATTTTTCTGTTCGTCGCGCCGGTAAAATCATTTGGCTTGGCACATTACAGTAACTAAGAAAACTTTCATTTTTGCAAAATAACGGAGTAACCTTAGGGTATATTGAAAAGCCAGTTTCATCTCCTGTGGTCAACAGGGCGTGGTCACAAAAACTTAAAAAGTGATAAAGGCACTGCTTCGTACGTTATTACTCAATAATGCGAGGCTACTTCATACGCAAGCAGGCTAATTTACTGTATGCTGACTGTACTCGCTGCTCGGTAGTCCTTATTCACCGGTACCTGAAATTTACTCGAGTTTCACCCGATTCTATAGGGTAGAAAAATGCTATGTACTGGCAATAGAAAAGTGATAAACTTACGACTGGCAATGCCACCACTTAAAAAATAAGCGTTTCCGACGTTTTCTAAGAATGAGTTTTGAGAACACGTCAGTTTTTTTAATGAGTGTAAAACCTTTCCCACTTTTCATGCGTTCAATTTTTTTCACAGTACATAAACGAATTCTAAAGCAGTATACTGGCGTGATGGAGCCACTCTGCTAATGAGGAGCCGGAAGTAGAGCGAAATTTGAAAACTCTACCTTACCTTATTTCTAACGTAACTAGGTATAAGACATGACTGAAGGAATAAGGAACTGTTTGGCCACACCCTCTGGACCACGGCAGATGAAAATAGCCTTTTTTTGTTCTCTAAGATTTCTTCGTCATCCTGAAATAAAAACTAAAATTTTTCTGACTGAAGAATCGGTGACGGTGCCCTGGTTTGATCTTTGTAGAACTTTAATACAAATACATGGGAAACTGATTTCCCCAGGGCCAGAAATAGAGAACGATTTGATGAGAATTCTCAAACAATTTCAAATACTGTATGTACGCGCCTGTTAAAGTAACCTTATGCGCCCTGAGAAGCAGAAACTGATACCGAACATGTTCAGTGTTTTCCCCAGCCAGGTTGACGGGATTACTGTCCATGTATTCCGGTACAATCTGATTACAGATGTTAACGAGGAAGGAACCGAAGCCGGGGCAGCGACTGTGGTAGTAATGGATCTCATGGGTCGTGATGACAGCTTTCGAGAAGCAAAATTCATTGCAGACCGGCCATTTATTTTATCCTTCGCCACAACAGCACCAACACAATTCTGTTTATGGGGCACATCAATCATCCATCCGCGTTTTCTTAATCCATGTTTTTCAGGGAAAAACAGATGCCTACATCTATATAACCGCATTATAATTGCTGTGATTGTTCAAGCCATTCGTATATTCTTCAATACAGCTAAATTTGCTTCGATGGCAGTAAGTTCCTGCTAGTAAAACTTTGTTTATTATTTGTTTTTGCATCGAACTCAATGTCTCCGACCGCAAAGGAACCGAAATAAACTTAACTGCTTGCAGAACATCGTAGAAAAAACGGATATGCTTTCGAGAATTTCTCTTTACGGGCTTTTCGGAAGAACTAGTTAAAAGAACCGTAAATTTAGCTCTCGCCATTTGGAGTGGAAAAAGCCACTACGTTTACGCATAATATGGTTAAACGAACAGCAAACTTTTGCCTGTTCAGTCAGCCATGTACGGTAAACCGTGAGCAAGCGATGCATCCGTTACAGGACTTACAGGTACAACTTACTGTACATGCTGAAACTTTGTACAAACAAAATTCTTGGCCGATTGACTCAACACTAAGTCTTTACGAAGAATCCGTATATCAAACGAGAAATAATTCAAGCGATACTAGAAGCCTAGCAGCAGCAGATTTTATTGCCTGTAAATTTTGTTTCGATTAGCGCAAACAGCATCGTAAAAGTCTGCGGCAATTTCTGCGTTGTCATCATTTAAACACACAACCACAGTTCGTCTTAATATACAAACTTTAAGAACTTTTTTCCTTCCGTTTGTGTTTGTCCGGATTTGTCAACATCTCCAAAGAATGCAGACCATACTAATCATCGCGATAATGTGTTCGGATTTGTATGCCATCAATGTACGTGCACGAAAATCCACTGATCGTCAATCTGGCTGTGGAAAATCCCATAAAGCCGGCTTCATCAACAACAACCACATCGTGTCTGGCAACCGCGAACGAACCTACGCCGTCAACGTTCCTTTGAGCTACAACACCGACGATAACAAACGGCGACCTTTAATCCTCGACTTCCACGGACGTGGCGCAACCCCGGAAGAACAATATGAGAATTCCATGTACTACACTAATCCCAAAGGCAAAGAGTACGTCGTCGTGTATCCTGCCGGGATCAAGAAAGCCTGGCAAGGCGCATCCTATGCCGATCCAAAGGTTAGTGATCTCCAGTTCGTCACGGATCTCGTCGCCCATATCGAATCGAGCTACTGCATTGATCCCAATCGGATTTACGCGTCGGGTAAAAGCAACGGTGGCGGGTTCGTTGACACCCTGGCATGCTCAGATCACGGCGACCGGTTTGCGGCGTTCGGCATGGCGGCGGCGGCGCTCTACACCGACAACAAGTTGAGTGGGTGTCCAAAGAAGCGGGCGATCCTGGAGGCCCATGGCGAAGCGGATGCCACGAGCAAGTATCACGGGGATGCTGCGGCGAACGGCGGTCCGGTGCCAAATATTGCTAAGTGGGTGCAGTGGTGGGCTGAGCGGGATGGATGCAGCCGAAAGGATGGAGTAAAGAAGGACCTGGCCGGTTATGATGTGACAAAGTATTCGTGCAAGGGATTCACGGATGTTGTGCAGCATTACAAGGTACATAAACTCGGACACTGTTGGCCGAGTAAGGATGGAAAGAATACGGACAGCAGCGGTTGTCGTGGATTTTTTCGAGAAATGGAGTTTAAATAATGCCCCGAAAAATTAATTGGTGTTTTTTTGCAAACTGGCTTTGTAGTACTTTTTGTTTCGTTTTTGTAAACAGATATTTGCAGTATTATGTTAACTGGACTGATATATGTAATTATGAACTATGAAGTACCAGTACCCATGTTGCGCAGCTCTCATTAATTTTGAAGAATAATTCAACAGCACGCCACAACCCCCTTCAGAATTTTTTGATTTTAAAGGCATCGCTAAATTAGATTATTTTATTAAACCGCAAGGCAGCCGAGATATTTAAAGCCTTAACCACTTTGCAAAGGCGAGTTCAACAGACGCTTCTATTATGCAATCATCATCTGATGCTTTTTTAAAAAATGCAAAAGCTTTTTTCTGGGATCTAGTGTTTGACGGCTATTTGTCGCAAAGGTATTCAGCGGCAGTTAATCAGTCGGATGAAAATGTTCGACCCCGAAAAATGCAAAAATCTTGATGGATCGACCGTTTAAGTTTTGCGTATGAAAATGTTCTGCTAGCCACTAAGGATTTATTACACTTCATCAGCTGGTAAAACAGCCACTATCAGTCGATTGTAACAAAAAAACTGTTACGATAGAAGCGCGTGCTTTAACTTCTTGTACTCCATAATTTGCCCCTAGCAATTCCGCTGAGCTGATTGTCTAGTTTATCCACCTACATCTTTGATCATGGTATTGTACGTGCTGTCTGCCTATATAAATCACAGTACCGAGCGGCGACTTGTGTGTAAAATCATCGCCAAATTGATTTGAAGCAACAAAGTAGACGATTACAGTACGTTTTGTGAATAGAGTCTTCGTCAGGCCGTGTCTCGTTGGCCAGGTACATATTGATTTATTGCCTGCGTTAACGTTAAAGAAGCCTTTTATAAGCTCGCAATAAATGAACAGTCCTGGCGACTCACGGTGGTCATTTTGAACACCCATAGCCAGTCCGTTTGAAGTTGGGCTAGTCAGTCTGTGGATTAACCCGACTTGGAAGGGATTGGCCGTGGGTGTAAATTCTAATCTTGGAGCCCATTCCGAACGTTTTTTAATAACAATATTATTAAGAACATTGCCTGCTCGTCTGCGATGGGCTTGTAACGGAGGATTCCTGTCTCATGTATTAGTATGTACGAGTATGTGCTTGGTTGTCCCGCCTCATTTCCTGTTGGGGCTCTGTAACGGGGATTCCTGTCTCATGTATTAGTATGTACGAGTATGTGCTTGGTTGTCCCGCCTCTTGTATTTCCTGTTCCTGTACGAGCGGTTCTATATATAGCGTTGTATTTCCTGTGGTATCTTCAGTCGTTGGGTTAGCAATATTTCGAGCAGTATCAGCCGGTTCCGTTGCCCGTTATACTTGGAGTCGCATACCGAGAACGAAATTTTTTCAAGTCGACAGTTTCAGTGCCCTTTAACTTTTACCACCGCTACCCTCCGCCTCCCTGTTGAACAGTGCCCTTTAACTTTACCACCGCTACCCCTCCGCCTCCTGTTTCAACAGGTAAGTCTTTATGTATCACGTCCAATTTTTTTTCAAAAGAACAATTTCAACTGTTACCGATCCTAATACCATTTTCGAATTCCGTAACGCGCCATTTTTAAGTAATTAATTAACGATCGTATAGTCAGCTTTCCGCAGTTAGCAGGCTGTTTGCAATAATAAGTACTAATTACCAGCAAGTCAGGATCATGGCTCTAGACCCGCAAGCACTGCAGAATATTCTTAACACCGTTAATGCCGCTTCCGCTCAGCAGAATGCAGCTTTACAGCAAAGCCTACAGAATAACGCTACTGCACATCAGAATTTATTGAATTTTTTGAATAACCAGAATGCCGCTGCAGTTACCCGTATAACATCTCTCGAAATGGGTGATTTGCCGAAGTTTGGTGGTTTTTCTTACGAAGACGCTCAGGACTTTTTAACACAGTTTGAGACGATGGCCGTTGCTAATAACTTCACACCAGCTAACAGAATCCAACATTTTGCGCTCTGTTTGCGGAATAACGCTCTTCGCTGGTATACCGCAGAACTAGCAGGTATCACATGGCCAGACCTTCGATCTCATTTTTTAACAGCTTTCGGAAAAACTCGTTTTGAACTTGATCTTATGAATGAAGGTTGTCGTACATTAGCATTTACAGATCCTCGTACTTTTGTCCATCGTGTTCTTGATTACGTGGAAGCCAGTAATCCCGCAGCTACCGAAGCAGAAAAAACAGTTCGTCTCTTCGAAGCCTTGCCCTTGAATTTAAACCGGCATTCGTGACTAACAGCCCCAGAACCGTAGCCGATTTTTCAATCGTTTACGTGATGTGTCCGTTAAGCAACAATACAAGCTCGCGATGCAGAATCAAAATTCTTCATATCAGGCGTTCAATAATGTTGCAGATCAGTCAAATCTTTTGTCGCTATACAGCCAACCGACAGCGCCTACCTCTAATCAGATAGAGATTGTCGCTCATAACCTGATGAAAGGTTTGGATGAAAGACTAAAGCATCTTGCTGAACAAATAAAGTGTTTACAGGAGAATAACGAATCACAGGGCAGTTACGATCTTTCTCAGAATTACTTAACGGGTAATGCGAACCAGTCAACCCTTCGACTCACAGATGCGCCAAGCCAAGACAATGGATGCTTTAATTGCGGTAACTATGATCATCTTTCGTATGCTTGCCCGTTTGGAGCTGGCCACTCTACGCAGGCACAGTATGCACAGGCAGAACAAGATTCTGAAGATCGTTATCCGATGTCATTCGGTGCAGCACAGCATCCACCAACAACGCAGCAACTGACTTTAACACATCCGGTAAATTACCATCTCAGGCGCAACAGTTTAGGTCTGCAGAATCTCAGGACACCGGTAGTGCACAACCGGCGTATTCGAGATGGCAGATTTAACTTTTCTGGTCTAATTGTCGTTCGTACGTGAAAATTTGTTTCGGTTTTGTAAACTAAAGTGCTCTTTGAAAATTTTGTTAATATTATATTATTGTACTGAGTTATTAATGATGCCTGCCCGTTGATTTTGAAGGCTGCAGCAGTATTTATTGTTATTGAGAAAAGGGCAGATAAGTGAGAAAATTTTGAGGTTGACAGCGCTGATTCGCTGAATATTTGTTTGATGATGGCCAGATGTGAAAAGCCTCGCGATGGTAACGGTAATGGTTTATCTCAATGTAATGTGCAGAAATGAATTTGGGATATATTTAAATTGTTATTGCATATGCGCAGCACCGCTTAAATCTTATCTATCATTAATTTTCCGCCGCTGGTTCGGCTAATGACTTAAAACGCCAGATGTTGTCGTCTCCTTTTGGGCAGCCAGAGATCGTTAATGTCAACTTAAATTATAAAATTTTCAATAAAATCACTAAAACCAGATGTACCATCATTTAAAGTTAAGAATAAATTCCAACTTATCGCATTCCACGAAAATAAGATCCTAAATCTAAATGTCAGCGTTCACAACACATGACGGCATGCTTGGCACAAAAAACATGAACTATTATTCGAAATTCCATTAACTGGTGCGGTTATGTGGTAGTACTGCAATATGCGCATTGATTTTGGTAACAGACAATTATGAATGTTTGCTTCGACTGCAAAGAGAAAAATTGATTGGTTCAGTTTTAAGGTTGTGCAAAGTTTATGGTAACAGTAATGCGCATTAATTTGAATAATAATTCCGCCGAACAGAAGACGCAGCTTGATCACCACTGTGTACCACGGCAGCTCAAGTAAGTATTTGTGTTAAACCGAATTACGCTAATTACGCAAAATGAAATTAAAGTAGATCTACGAAATTAAGAAGATCACTGAAAATTTATGGAAAAGGGCTTTTGCACGAGCAAATCTATTTATATTCGCTCATATACGGGTGCGTGCTATAAACGCCCATCCTTGTTTCGTTGCGTCGTGACCTAATTTTCGACCATATAGACGGGCCACGGCTATAAACGCCTGCCCTTGTCCGTGCCCTCTGTCTCTATTGTAATCGTGTCGTCATCCAGGTGCGCCTATAAACGGTCCCTGTTGGTTTAATTCTTTCAATCAAGCCCTAAACATCTGACGATTTTAATGATGAATTGTTTGGAAAGTCGCGTAATTAAAAAAAAAAAACTGCTTCATGCTCAATAGCAAACTTGTGTTCCACCGGTCGAGCTCGCCTGTTGGTAGTCTACCATCATCACTGCTGCACAGTGCTTCTGACGGTAAGTATTTTGTTTATTTTAAAACGTGAAATTTGTTTTTAAAAAAAAATGTATATTTCGTGCGCATATCGCGGTATTGGAAAAATGGGTGTCCCTTCCTTAGTACGGGTATAACAAAGTTTTTGTTCTGAAGTCATGCATTGTTTGTTGTTCTGATGATATTGGTTTGGACTTAACTCTGGTTAGCGAATAATTTTTTTGTAAAGCAGCAGATTACGACAGTACATTTCTCGACGTGATTTAATCTTTTTGTACTTGTTTCGTTAATTTATATGTCATAGTGTAAAGGCGTAAGTACATCTTTTCAATAATTCAAGAACAGAATCTTAACAGATAGTACTGCCACTTCCGTAATATTAACAGTATGCATCTTTTGTTATTTCTTGCCACTCTTTTGTTATTTCTTATTATAATTTTATTAGCAGCCAAACATGTGTCACATCTTGTCACCTATTTTCCTTTTTTTTAATCTTGGTTTTGCCAGTCGATTATCTTTTTTAGCCGGTCGTACTATTCTCAGCAATTCTGTATAGCCAGAACAGGGAAGATCATTGCATTCGCTGGATATTCATTTTCCATTTGGCCCGATGAAGCACCTCTTGATTTTATTAGGAAAGTAACTTTGGCCCGATTCTCTCCCCGCTCTATCTTTTCTCTTGTACACTCACCAGTTCTCATGTATCCATACATCCCCGTCGCATCACTTCATACAAACAGAGCACAGGTTCTCTCTTGCCCCTATCATCCTGTCTGCACTGCTGATCCTCATAACTCTGTCTTGCACTCATCACTCGAATTCACCCCATTGTAATGCGCTCGCTTTACGTAGTATTGCTCTCGTGCCTTTGTCTCTCCCCATCTCATCCGCATTGTCTTCTTATCT